TTACCGTACACCATAATTCAAAAAGATATGATAAATGAATAAGGAAAAAATTAAATTTCAGTCAAAAAAATTAACAATGCAGAATTGATGGTACTTGAAAGAGTTTTCAATAATATTTCAATATTTTTTGCGGAAGCAGAACGATGCATATAATATTTAAAGAATTATTAGAGGCATAATAAAAACATAAAAACATTTAGTCTTCTTTCTTGAATTATTTGATTTAGAAAATATGGTTGCAATAAATTATTAGTTTTGCAATGTTCCAGAAATTAAACACATAAGATAACGGTGATAACTCATTAAAATGATCATTTTACGAGAAATATCGAATATTTTATTAATTTTGAATGGTTTCAATTAATGAAATTGGAGGTAAACCACAAATGGAAGATTTAACTGAATTCGGCGATCATTGCTAAATTATTAGAAGGTACTTCCAAATTCATATATGCTAATGCTTAATAGATCGATCAAATCAATCAAAGCAATATAGTTGTCGGCAATGAAAAACTTATGATGATTTTGGCATATACAAATATGAAATCTCCAAGGATTGTTGCAAGCCAAACATGCCAATTTAGCATGTCAATAAGCCATTCGTTTAAATTTGAAAATAAAATATAGCGGAGAAATATATTAATTAAAGAAATAACCTTCAAGAATTCAAAATATCAAAATACCACCCATAATAACAAAAATCGCATTATATATAAATTTTTGAAAAAATGATAGAAAATTTATTAAAAGGGACTAAAATTAATGAAAAAACTGGCAAAAATTTATCGAATCATTTAATTTCGATTTATTCTGGCTTCTAAAATAAGACAAAAATGAACAGAACTAGCTAAAAATTCGCCACAAAAAACTGAAAACTAGAAAATAACTTGACGATATTTTTATAGTCATATTTTTTATTTTTAGCCAAATACTATCTATGATATAGTAAAATATAAACTGATTCCAATATAAGCAATATAAGCACGTTTATAGTGTTATATTTAAGTGATTTTGTAATTTAAGTGATAGGTCGCCAAGTCAAACAAAATTTCAAACAAATATTAACAAAATTTTGTGCAACATTCAATCGTTATTCACCACTCACCATTTGTTAATAAAATATCAAATTTGATCATTATTGAATCTATAGGTCCGCATTATCCACAAAAGCATTTTAAGCGACAAATTATTTCATTGCTATAAGTTTTAAACACTGAAAAGTGTGCAATTATAAATATTCAAAGCTGCATCGATATTGCTCATCTTCAAAAGAATGTTTTAAAATTCATTCCTTATTCTAAAGTGTAACAAGCAAAATACTTTCATTAGAACTGACCGAAGAAATTCGTCACCGAAGAAATTCGTTTTACTAAAAATATTGAAAAAATTCAATGCAAACAAAAAAATCAATCTGATTTACATGTTCCAATGGGATTTCTAAAGCAAAAAATGCTCTCATTCTTGGAAAACCATTACAATATTTTAAGAATCAACACGAATTTCGATCGAAAAATATTCAGTTTTGAGGACAGAATTCCCACATCAAGAAAATGAAGCCCAGTTTTTAGTAATCGCATGATTCATACTTATCGATAACGGCATTTACCATTTGATATCTTTAATTTACGCTTAAACATGGTCTTAGCTTCTTAATGGAAGCAGCGCTGCTGTTAAAGTGATAAAAGTGATATCTGGCTATTGCTATAAAACACGGTGTTTCTATCACCTTCGGTGATGAAGTCATTCATAAAAAGCATTAACATAAAAAGCATTAACCAAAAAAAATTACTGATATTACCACGATTTCTCTTGAACTCAATGTAGTGCCAGAGCTTTAAAAATTGATTTAATTAACTTCAAAAAAATTAAACATTTCGCGCCAAGAATTTTAGTGTTAATTCTTTAGACAGAATTGGCTTAGCCGATAATTTAATATATTAAAAATAGAATTCAAAAAATTTTGCATAAATTCAAAAAATGGAGTCATTTTATGAATCGAGTAGAATTTTTTAAAGGCAAAAAGGTTGCTATTGGCTGATAATTAATAATTCCTTCTTTTTTTATGCCTCAAAATGTTAACGAGATAGGTCACCTAAATTTTCTCTTAGAACATTGAGCAATATTTTATGCAATATTCCGAAATATCATGGGATAGAACATGCAAATCAATCGTGTGCCAAAGCCGATTCGCCAATTGTCTTTATTGGGTGCGTAAGTTAATTTTTGTAATTTTAAAATGTTCAAAAATGAAAATGAAAAAGAATAAATGAATAGATCATGACACTCGATAATAATATGGCATTCAAACTTCACTGCTTATAAACAATTTTATTAGAACACAGTCGTGCTTATTCGTTGGTGTATTGTACTGTTCTAATCGTTTCCCACAGCTGTTCGATGCTCTGCAAAATATCTGTGAATATCAGGAAATATTATTCAAATATTATTTAAATATTAATCAATATGCTTTTATCTCCTTGCAGCATATTTTATTTTTCTTAACTTTTTATTACACCAACGTATATCCTTTATTTCAAAACCGGAAAAAGAAAGGAAAATGGGCTATGGTGCTTTTGAGGATCATTTAGTATGTATTATGTATTCTTTGGGTAGCGAAAATTTTCTGTTTCTTATGCAATGATATTATAGCCAAAAGGATACAATGCACGTCGCTATTATCAGACTGAGCGTTCATCACAGCATTCATATGAAAAAAAATGGGCAAAAAAAAAGTAGTAAAAGCAAAAACTAATATCAAAACACAGCATAATTTCTTCAAAAACATAGTAAAACAAAGTGGGCAAATAAATTTCCGAGTGCCACATTCCTCACAAAATGGCATGAAAAATTTGTACCTGTTGCATTAAATGATTCACTCGTGAGCGAATTTGATACAAAACACTACCAAAATTAAAAAATCGTTCACTGATAACGAATTAATTGAATCATATTAAGAATACCGCAGCTGAAGCACTCAGAAAAAACAAAGGAATATTAGCCTTTCTGTGGTTGCTTGAAGAATTGAGAATACTGAGTGCTTTGAGATATTAAAAGGCAGTTAATAAATGGTTTCGAATGGTTTTCCTTGGTTTTTGATGGTTCAATATATGTTATTGATGCGGTTCATTTATTGTTGTTTATTGGAGAAATCAATGTTTAGTTCGAAATAATTATGGCGTCTATGGCGCTTTCATGGAACGACTACGGACGAGAACGTTTTCAAAGAATTTGCGAGACTTATGTTGTCGAAAGTCTTCATATGAAAGGAAATCTTTTCCACGTATGAATAATTTTCTGAACTCAATTTATGGTTGCAGCAACGCTGACTTCGATGCGGCGCGAGAAAAATTTCTAAAATTAATTTATTTGCTGGTGCTTGCGCTTAACCTATTAATTGGAAGTGCTTAATCTGCAAGATGTTGATAAAAGGAATGGATCCAAAAAAATATGCAATGAAGTGAATAGATGCTCAAATGCACAATTAAATTCTTATGGATATTTTTAAAAATCTCATTAGAGAACAACATTAACCGATAAATACTTTCAATCAATTCGGTAGATAATTAAGCTTCCACCTCAATTAAATGAAATTTTTTCTATTCATTAACAGAATAACATCGCAAAAAAATGGCTCATGAAATTTGAATTTCATCAACAAAAGCTTCATGAAAAAAGATTTTTTCTTTGTAAGTACCAACGTAATAACTTGGATTTTATCTTTTTACCTGCAAAACTCAAAAATATTTATTGTCGACCTTTTTAAAAAAAAATTCCACCGACTTCTATCACTATTACTCTGCAAGAATATTATATCTACGAGAATTCTTTTTAGGCTTTCAAACTTTTTTTCCTGGATCTTTTTATACTATTTTCAATTTATTTTGTATTATTTTATTTAATTTTATTTAATTTTTTATTTTAAATATAATTAAAATCTAAATGCAATGTATATAAATACGCCTTTTGCACGTATTATATTCGCACTAAACTATTAATTAAATGTATTTGATTTATACTTTTCACTTTTCATTCCCTTTTGAACGATTCATTAAATTTCATGGAAATTTAGTGAAATCATTTCATAGAGGCAACGGTAATCGAGGAAGCAGCTTCATAAATTTTTAAAAAAGTATTTAGAATTGATATTATAAGAAATAGATGTAAACCTCTGCATTTCTATTCATTGTATTTCATCTTATTTTTTCAAGAATTTTCCCTATTTTGTGAATCCAATGTGATAAAATTGGACAATTTTGCCATATTTTATTAATAAGAATATTAAATATTTCTTAAATCTCACATTGAATATCAATCATTGCATGCATAGAAAAATTTTTGGGTGAGATTTAAATGTTTAGAATGCATTTTCACTGATATTATCGAATTTATAAAAATTTATTGTAGAATTTATAGAATTTATTTATTGTAAAAATCTTATTATATGAATAAATTTATTTAATTTTTTTATGAACAAAAACAGCGAAAATACACATATTTTGAAATAAATTACAACAAGGAGGCAGCGAAATTGCCCATAATTTTTTCAGTCATTTTTGTCTTTTGATGTGAATATACCATTAATGAATAAATTATTTTATTTCATTATGAATTAGCGAGCAATAAGACTTCCCAAAAAGTTCATTTAAAAGTTTAGTTAATTAAACGCCTTTTTCTTTTTTGTTTTTCATTTTCTCTCTTTTGCTCTTTTTTTCGATACGATCTATCGAATTACTATTCAATTCAGGAGGGATATTCAATGCCTTCAGTATATTTGCATTATTTATATCCATCCAATATTTTAATCATTTAATTATTATTATATATATATATATATGTATATTTTCAATTTTTCATTCATTTGTGCATTTTTTGAAACATTCATGAAGGAAGTAAAAAGCATTTTGGTAAATTCATGAATTAATCAATAGAGCACTAAGATCCAAATTTTATTAAATTTCGAAAAATTTAAAAGGAGAGCAAAAGAGTGGGAAGTCATAGTTTTAGTAAATGCATGGTAAGCAACAGTTGCAAATCCCTTCTTCATCCTGATAAGCAGCAATATCAACCTGAAAATTGCAATAAAGAATTTTGACAGCTATTCATACGGATAAATTAATAAGATATTATCTTTTGCAATATGTAGTATCCCTTTGACGACGAAGGCAGTATTAAACGGTGAACGGTGATCGAGTGGTGGATTATTTTGATTAAGATCGGGCCTTTACAGATTCGATTATTGTTCCTCATAGAAAGTGAACCTTTCAACAAAAGTGAAATCCTAGTGGTGCTGACGATCCGACTTTTCAAGTTAACAAAAATTTACCTAATAAAACCAGTGGAGTTAGACTAGTCAGATGATAAGCGCTGCTTCATTCACTTAGTCCAGTCACTATATTATTACAACGTTCGAGGACAGTTTTCTTTCAAATACATCTCATTTTCTTTTAATAAATATCTGATTTATTATAAATATGCCTGCTGAAAAGATATTCTTACTGGTTTTTTGCCAATTGATATCGCATATAAACCGCAACAATTATTACAGGTTTCAATGGTCGAATTTTTAATGTTACACGATGTCGTTTTCATAACATTATCAATGTGTATTCGAAAAGCTGGTTCTCGTGCGCACGCTTAAAATGTTATTGCATATTTTATAATAGAAAGTGGCAGAAAGTGAAAGTGGTAAAAATAAGGCAAATAAGATAAAAAATAGTTTTGGAGTTTTAATATTAAGGCAATATTAAAACAATAATATTAAATAATATTAATATTTTTAGTTTTCAGGTGAATAAATGTAATAAGCATACTTAGCACACAAGGGGCGTAAGGATATTGAACATATGGGTATTGATGTTGCGAAGATACGGTAGTAATAAGCAACACGGTTGCTAGAACTGCGTACATTTTCCTCGCACTATTGCTCAATAATAGCAAAAAAATCTTTCTTTTATAAGTACCGATCAAAAGTTTTTTCTGCCTTACAATGAAAAATTATAAAAATTTTGCTTCTATTCATAAATAGAATCTTTTCTTTCAAAATGTTAAAAATTTCTTATTTTTTTGCATTCAAAAAATCATCACTTCGGAATTTTCATGCAAAGTTTAAATTTTTTTATACTTTCTGAAAAGAAAAGCTAAAAGACTGAAATTAAAATTGGGAATCAAATAGAATATTTGGTCTCGCCACTTCCCCATTTATTTGTGAATTTTAGAAAAAATTTTTGAAAAATGCTATCAAAAAATTTTTCATATTTACGTTAGTGTTGCAAATTGTATACTGTTACATTGTGTACTGTTGAACCGATCTTTAGTGCTTATCTATAATGGAAATTAATATGGAAATTCAATTTGAATTAATTTTACTTAAATTGTCACTTAAAAGTGGAAAATTTATTCGTAATTTTTCTTGCACATATGCAGAGACATGGTAGCAGAATGACTCAGATTATCATATTAACCTTCAAGTTTTCGCAACTCTTTCCTCCAACAGGAATGAACCTGTCAACAAAGGATCCGGGTGGTGCTGATGATCTAATTATTATCGCCAAATAACTCTTCGGCCAAAGTTTTTCAGCGCTCTAAGCCGAGTTAGTCTAATCAAAAATAGTATGGCACCGACAAAATTCTCTTTTCTTATTCTTGCATCAAATAATATTATACAACATAGAAATAAATTTATGCAACATAGAAATTCCACCTTCAGAATATTAAGAATATTTTTTGATTGTTGATTTCAGTTGAGAGAACTAGTTCCAATATGAGTAAAAACTTCTCTTAGTTTTTGAAATGGTGGAAAGGTCGTTAAGAAATCACTTGAAATCTGTTAAAATTTAAGTTTTGCTCTCTCTCCTTATAGATTTGGTAATTTTCAAATTAGGAATGTACTCAGTCGAATTTATTTTTGTTTTCAATTTATATTTATCAAAGCGGTATTTTTTTCTCACCACTGGAATCTTCGTTTATTTTCAATAGAGAAAATTTAGGCAAACTAATAATTTGAAAAGAACACTATAAATTCTTTTGAATTTAGCTGATTTGAAAGGATAAAAGATTGATGCAAAATTAAAAATTTAATTAAATTAAATTAAAAGAATTTATAGGAAAAATGAAATTAATTAAATTAAATTAAAATTAAAGTTTGCTTTTTTTCACTAATAATATCTTTTAATTTTAATTAAATGAAGCAGTTTTTATGAAAATTTATTCAAAATTTGATATTAAATGTATTATAGTAGCATTAAATTATCAAATGCTTATATCATTTAAACGAAAAAATCTATTCCAAGTGCATTTCAAAAATGTTTTCAACACTTATAAAGTTGGCCATCACAAAAAAATATAGAGGCAGACATGAAATCGTGAAAAATGCTCGAGGTAATGATAGTTCTAAGATACGGATCCGTTAGATTTCATTGTCCTTTCATCTGATGCCAATTTTAAGAGAAAATATGAGCAAAGTCTAAAATTATTTTATAAATAAGTAAATAGACCAGTCATAATTATTCGCAAATGTTTTGCCATCTTATTACAAATATGCAAAGGTTTCGATTTACAAAACTATTCTTGGCCTTCGTAATTTAATTTGATTTTGCAATTCCAATGAAATTTAATGAAATGGTTCTCTAACAACTCAAAACAAAAACAGCCGACTTAAAATTCTTTATTCGAAAAAAAGTGGAGAAAAATGATGCTTTATATTCGCATCATAGATTGCATAAATGCATCGATCAACATTTTTAATAATTTTTAATTTTGCACTTCTCGCAGAAATATTAGAAATATTAGATTCGTACCAATTTACATTAGAAAGTACGATAAAATATTTCATATTAAAATAATTTTGGCTAATAAATTAGAAAGGATATTCTAAGATTCTAACATTTCTAATTCACTGGAATTTTTGCATAGAATTGATGATAATTATTATTTCAGCTATTGGTATGGGAATTAAATGAAAACAAGAAGCACATAATGATCACTAATAAAGATGTGAATCGTCATACCAGTAACGTGTTGGTCTTTCAGAAGCAGTCGAAATGTAGCTATAGCGATTGTAATTTGCCGAAGGATTTGTTCCTGAATACATTAAAAATTACAAAATTATTGCATTATCAAATCATATTGACTTGAATTTAATAAATCTTTGGTGAATTCACAAAAATTCTTAGGCAGAAAAAAAATTCGGCAACTTTTTTGAAACCTGAGGAAAACGAGTCTTTGATGATTCTTTTTGCAATAAATTTCAATCAAATCTACTAACACAGTTTAATACACAGCCTAAAAAGATTTTGAATGACTGTTTGACTTTTTTTAAATTACTAAAAACAATTGCTATGAATCTTATAATCAAACCTGTGTATTTCCGATACTGAGGCAAATAAGATGTTTCTCGAGCACTTATTGGTGATGCATTGACTGAAGGATGAATGCTATATGTCTTATCCGATATCCCATACCTACAAAATTTCAATAAAATGAAATGTTCATTATGGTTTCCTCTTCAAATGATAATTATAATCATTTACCTAGTAGACTGCACATTTAAAGGGCTTGCTTTATTGTACTGTGAGTATTCATGATTACCCGTCGTTGTTTGGCTTGTAACTGGTGGTGTTAGAGCTTCTTTGCTCTTGCGAAAAAAAGACTTAATCCTATCAATTGGTGACGCAGGCCTTTTGTAATCATCATCAAAGCTGAACAGTGAAATTATTAAGAATGAGAAATCTTATTTATTTTTTTATATGTTTTAATACTTTTTATAAACACCGATGAATAATTAAAAATGAAATACGGAGCGGTTATAATTTTTCCATCAGGACCAAGTCGCATTTCTGTCGTTCTCCTTCTTCTTAATGATAAAAATGATTTTTTTTTGTTCTTTTGATGATCATCAGGCTTTTCTAAAACTGAAGAAACTGCTGAATATTTAAAATGCTCTTTTGTTATAATGAAAATTCAAAAAAACTTTATATTTTCATTTAAAATTTTGAAAAATTTTAAAATGTGAATTTAGTACTACACTTAAGGCTTAGTCCATGCAAAAAAATTCATGCCATTGTCCACTGGACAAATAGTTAAATGCTATGATTAGTCATACATACAACCATTTTTAAACATTTTTGCAAACATTTTTTAATTTTAACATGCAATCAGCCGATAAGTCCTCGTACCTTCAGGGAAGTTTCATTGCTATCTATAAAAAAATTAGCAAAAAAATTGGCACATAAGATATCCAACGAACCTTCGATGGAGCTCTCAAAAAGTGTGCTTTTTACATTACGAGAATGGGGAGAAGTCGCCGTTAGGTCTAAAGATTTTGATGGTGCCATTCGAAACCGACTGATTAACCACACGGAAAAAGTCGCTCGACTTTGAATCGAATTACAAGGTAATGAGTCCTCTGGAGTTCTTCGTTTATCGCCTGATAAATACTGCTTAAGACGATCCAAAATATTTTTCATCCCTTCGCAACAGAAACTTTTTAGAGAACAAAAACAAATTAATAAAATGAGCGAGAAAAATAAGGATTTGAACATTTCTAATCTACTTTAGTAATTTGAAATGGAAGAAGCCTATAAAAAAAGTTTAAAAGAAAAATAGGAATTTTTCATTATTCTCGCTCACAAACATAATTTCACGCAATTCATTTAGTGAAGCGGTAAATCGGACAAAACACTTATAACGATAGAAGTCACTTTTAATCCAAAAAATATTTCTTTAATAGTTTCTGTTTTTTTATTTTATTGCTTTTTTAGTTGCTTGCTAATCAGTTATAGCAATGAGTTGTTGAATGAACAGTACCAATCCAATAAGAATGGACTGTTTGACGAAAAAATCGTCATTATACGCGGTAGCACTAAGTTTAAAATAGAAAAACAGGAGCGTAAAGAATCATTAATTACCTGATGATTGCTCCTTGCTGGGAAGGATATCTGCCAAAGAAAAATCTATTGGTCTATGTTCATTTTCAGTATTCTGAAGCAAGCAATGTTTTTTGGTTATTGCGGCTTTAAAAAAAGTAGAAAATTTAAAAATCAAAAAAATTCCATCAAAAAATTGTTTTAAACGAAAATCACACTTCTAGTGATTTAACCTGTTTATTCTTTAATATGCCTTTAGATGGAACACGGCTATGGTCCGGTTCACGAGGGATTGATGTTCTGGCTAATGAAGTATCATGATAGTTAACATAACTATAGTCGCTTTTTTCATTAGTAAATTCTGGTGTCATTAATCGACCTCGTAAATTGGCTGTAATAAAAACGAATGTACTTCCAAGTGTTGTCGATTATTTCTTATATTAATTTCATATCTCATATTTATATTTATAAATTGATTAATTGAAATAAAAAGCACAGACTAAACGTGAGCTATCATGAAAAATCTTACAGTGATAATCATCACCATAATAGGACTTTCGGTCCATACTTTGCGATCGCAACTGATCACGGCGATCAGAATCAGTCGCTGCGGAAAACATCTTTTTCGTTACTGGACGAGATCTTTTAGCTACACCTGAATGTTAGGACTTACAAAGAATTTTATAAATAACCGGAAACAATCAATAATTACAATTATGCAGTCCTAATACGAAAATTACTAAAAAATCATTACTGTTAATGTAATCTTGTTGTAACTGAGGGCTTAAAGAAGAAGCTGCAACGTCTGAAACTGTTGCATCTGAAAAAATTCTTTCGTAAGAAATGAACAACAAATGGAAAAAAAAGAAATTACGATGGAAAATTTTGAAAACGAGGTAATTGTAAAATTCTACTATGGAAATCAGTTGCCTAAGGCAAATATGCTCATTTCTGAAACACCATGGTTTATTAAGGCACTAACATATAGTTTGATATCTTTACATATTTTTGTGCTTAATAAGTTATGGATTACTTGGCAAATCTGCATCATTAATTTTTCGGCGATATATAAAGTTATCATCGAAACGTGATCGATAATATCCTGGAGAATATGGACTCAGTGGACGTTCACTTGCTGTGGAATACCGCGACGAGCCAGGTATACGAAAGGTTGAAGAAAGGTGGAAATTGCTGTTGAAATCAAATTCCATTAAACTATGACGTTGCAAAAAATGAAGCTGACGAAAATTAATGCAATACTATGTCACTCTCGAAAAAAAATTCCTACTTGATCGTAGTGTTTCGTTCAGCTTCACGCTCTGCTCTTGTTTGGTACACATAAAACTTCTTTGGCTCGTTAGCCCACGACTGCATCGTCGACTGCACAATAGGCGTCTAAATGGCATAATTTCAGAAAATTATGGAAAATTATGAAAATTATGTTTTCTTCTATATTTCTGTAATGAAAAACGATCATTATTTTTGTAAAATGTTGCCTCAGTCGTTGTTTAATATTACCGTTTCGCAAGATTTAAAAAAAAATGAAGATTTATCTGAGATTTATCTGAGACCTCTGTTTTAAAGCGATCGATGTTCGTCGAGAAAGTATTATAGAAATTTCGTGTGAAAAGAGGAGTGTACAAATTTTTTCTGAAAATAAATTAAATTATTACCAACTATTTTTGCTTCCTAAGTATAAAAAAGTATAATAAGTAAGTTACCACTTCTTATTAGGCTATCTCCACTGGCTGTTAATGCTTGTAGAAATGTTTGCCAGGGAGTCGTCACTTAATGACAGAAATACAGCTAGAACCAATCTTTTCAGTTGCCATATTTTAAAAAAGCAATTTTATATTATGCGATAGCTTCAGTGAAAAAGTAATTTAATTGCAAAACATTTGAAAAGTAGATTTTTTTGAACTTTTTTATGCAAAAGTCAAAAATATATGAAATCAAAGAAAAATATTTCAGCAATCCTCACATTTCAGGTTTATCAGGTGAAAAATCATGCAAAGAGCACGATTTTTTGCGCTGTTCATGCAATCCTTCATTTGAGTCCTGCAATTATCAACTGCCTTATTGATCATTTTATCCTAAAGAAATGGACCGAATAAAATAAATGAGAGAACTGAAGTAATAATTTGTTCTTTGGTTGTTATTGAAACGGTCATATCTATGGGCTTAAAACTTCAAACGTGTAATATTTCATAATATTTTCAAAACATCTGCCTATGTTCTAATTCAGGCCAATTATTATAAAATGTTTTCTTTCAGGCAGTTTTATGAATTCTATGAATTTAATATTCAATTTAATCTATCGGTTTAATTTAATTTCTTCTGATTAATTTACTGCATTGAATCTTGTGGTAGCCGTCTGATTATAATCGTCCTGAGAATAGTTAATCGGCTGTGCTTTCGTAATTTGTTCAGAGTAATCTAAATTTAAAAATTTAAGAAAGTTGTATTTCGTAAATTTGCTAAATTTTTCCTAAATTTTCAAATTCCAGTACATCAACAAATCGCCGTTCACTGCCGGCAATATCCAACAAATTAATAACAGTTAAATACACAGCATTTGAATTGTTCATCCACTGTTCAAATATGCAACATGAGAATTCAACATAAATAAATTTGACAATTTCAATTTATACCTTTAACATAAATCTCTGTTGGCGATTTGTGGCTTATTGCACTGAAATAGTTTTTTCATATTAAAATTTTTTCATTCATTCAGATGAGATTTAAGAAGAAAGAAGAATATATTTTAAGCCGAATTAATTAGAAAAATTTTTCTCGTTTGAAAATTTATATGGGAAATTTTTAATGAAAAGGCCTTTAACTTTTGGAAATAAGCAATCAAATCATTCTTTTCGGTTGTGAAAAAAATTTAAAAAGTTTTACTTTTTTAAAATTTTAAATTCCAAATTTTCAAATTATGGACAGCAGACAAGTCAAGTCAAATCATTAATATTCGCAACACACAAAATATAATCTAGAATATTCAGTAATGCAAAGGTTTTTTAAATTAAACACAAAGAAATTCCACACTCTACGTTTCATATTGTAACGATTGGTATTGCTACCTGTCTTTTATTTCTATTAGACTTCCCGTTACGCGATTTCGGCGTTTTTTATCCAAATATTTTTTGCGAATATATAATGTAGCGTTTTCGAGAACCCGCATTCCAATATTTGTTGGGACTGTACTAGCTCGACTAAAAATTGACAAACTTCTACTTTTATTCAGCGATTTTTTTAAATTTGGAATTTTAATTTATAAATTTTATAAAATTATAATTTATGATTTTATAAAATTTAAATTTATAATTTTATAAATTTATGATTTTTCGTAATTTTCTCATAGGTTAGATTTACAATTATGCAACTTTTATAATAAAAACAGCAATTTTCTTATCAAATTTTTTTACATCTATTTAATAAAGCGATGGTGATAGCAAGAAGAAATCCAATGTCAACGAAAATAACAAATAAACTTTCCTTATCTTCAATTTTTTCCAACAGAAAAGATTCAACGAAAAAAAACAAAGGTAGATAAGTTATTTAAAAAGTTATAAGGGTACCCATCAGCAGACGTATTAAGTATATGGTAGCGTAAATCTATTTGAATTCTAGTAAACATGCGTAGTAAGTTCAAGCCAACTACATCTTTTACCTTATGGAACACCATTTAGCATCTTTTTAATCCTTCTATTATCTAAAATAATAAATAAATGCGATACTTGGTCCGCAAATGTTCAGTTCGTTTTTCTTCAATGGTATTTTCTTGTTTGAACGATTCGATTCCCTTTTGCAAACCATTCATTGTCTTATTTGTTGAAATCTTAAATAAGATAAATTAAAAGTTAGTTATAAAAATCAGTGGTAAGAATATCACCGAAAGTCGAAGCTTGGATTCGGATTCGCACCACTCGTCGTCGGGTGACATTGTCGCCTAACGGTGAAGAGCAAAAAAAAAGAGTACAATGGCTCGGTGGTCATGACTCACTTCCGATGTTTCTATATGTGTCTCCCGGTAGGCCTATGCTTCAAAAAATCCGAGTGATGCTGGCAACTCACTTGTACTTCTTCCAAGGAGTCTCTAGTGTTTGTCTAGCATCTAGCGCCCTTGTCTAGCTCGACAAGCCCAAAGGAACGAGTCTAATCAGTGATGGTGAGTGCTCATCTTGAAAAAATAAACAATACATTCAAGTTTATTATTTATTTATGATTACTTGTTTAGTTACCCAGAATTCGTCGTTTCATTGTTTATATTTTTACATAAAGAAATGCATCGAGCAGAATAGAACTTACTTGGTTGCTTTCAGTAATCGTTTCGAACATTGCAGATGAATCATTCGACTGAATCGGCAAATTTTGGTTTTGATTGAAAATTGTTCGCTCTTCAATAATTGTTTTTTAAGAAAAATGTTATAATCACTGGCGAAGTATAGTGAATAAGTAAACCAAAGCAGCATTAAGAAAATTGAAAATATAAAATAACATACAATATAAAATTCTTTAAAATTCCTACGAAGGAAATTCACGTTAATTGAAAATAATAATCTCTTCAACGGCATTCTTGAAAAATAATCTCTAATAATCATCAATTCTTATCGAAACGTGAAAGACACCGCGATGTTACTTATTGGTTTTTAGTTTATTTATTTATGATTTACAGTTCTTCATTTACGATTTAGCATACGAAGATTTTTCTCAGTTCAATTGTAACGCCAAAAATTTCTAACGACCTATTTACCTATAACTCATTGAATTGGATGATTTAAAACTTGCGGTTAGTGGCAGATAATATGCCGCTTTTCATTATTTCACTTTTTCCTTCAAATTCATTATCATCCTCTTCTTCTTCTTGCTCATTTTCATTTTCTTCATCTTCATCATCTAATTCATAAGACTCTTCATCTTCGGATTTCGTTGCCGTTGGGAGAGGACGAATAGAAATGACTTTCTCGGTGCTGTAATAGATAATTATTAACTTTAACTTTAATAGCAGATTAATTATTGTAACGAAAGACTAATTTGCACTGAGATATCTATATCAATTCAATAATTATCTTTTTGAGAACCATTTTAATTCAAGTTAATTCACTTGCTAATTGGCGAATTTGAATGGCTTGAATGACTCTGTCGTTCAATACTGGATTCTGGTGCTTCTGGATCAGTAGTTTTCAGCCAGTTGTTTTTTTGCTTTTCGCTTTCTTTTAAATCGCTTTTGCTAGGGATATCATCCTCACTATCATCAATGTGTCTTGGATACGTCATGATATATTTCTTCGCCTGAAATTTAAAAGAAGCTGGCCACTTTATTACTACATTATGATATTAGCATAAAATTCAAATTTTATTTTAAATTTAATTGAATCTTCTTTAACACAGCTTCATTAGCAGTCAATTTTTTTCAGGAGAAAATCAAAATTTTTGGTAGCTTAAATTTTTCGAAATGTAAAAAATGTAAAAAAATTGAAAGCTTTTTTAAGAATCTCTCTCTACGATAGAAATTATCATGAGCTCCATTTGATAAATTTAACTTAAAATAAACGAAAAATGAAATAATAGAATAGAAAAACTACGAATATAGAAAATATTATATAGAAAATACATAGCTATATATATAAAATATATAGTAAACGCTTATCTAAGAAAACCTTGTCAAATAAAAATGGCGAGTGTTCAATTGTTGGTTGAGGACCGCCAATTCGTCGCTGTGAAATCGTTGGACTCTCACATTCCATCGATACACCTCTGCCATATAATTCAACCTTGCTATGCTAGAATATAATGCTTTCACTTGATGGTGCACCCTGCGTTCTGCACATATTTACATTTTAAAAAATTTAAAAAATTTCGGTCTCACCCTTCGTGTATTTTTTTTTAAGAGTCCCTCAATTGCTAGTTAAACTCGCTCCAGGCTTGTCGTACTGGATAATATGCCAGGGAGTCCCTCGGCGATAGAAAAGCCACTCGGATTTTTGGACAGGTTAACTTCTGCAGGGAGGAAACTTCAAATCAGACGATCAGAATTGAGCAACAACCCACTGAGCCATTCTACTTCGCGAGTGGTATGGGTTTTCTTTAACTCTATGTCCTCTACCAGAAACATGGGAATTTTTTCTTGTGCAATTTTGATATCTGATGCAGTTTTTAGAATATAGAGCCACTTTTTCAGCTCAAGAATCACATTTCCGAATGCCCTTACTATCACTGGGAACCACTTTGGTCATCATTTCCCACAGCTCCTTTTCCAGTTTATTTCTCTAGCTTCTCATATTTCTTCTTCTTAAATATTTCTGTTACTTGAAATTGCTATATTTATCACAAGTGTTGATTTTTGCATCTTGTCTACTCCCATTTGATTGGCAAACACTTCTTTGTCCGAACTGTCTGAATAGGGGAATTTCACAGGAATTTGGCTTTATTATTTATCAAGATTTTCTGGGGAATCTTCTCAAGTCTTGAAAGAGAGTCAAGCTATTAAAAGTGAAAACCAGGAAGCTTCTAGCAATACAAAGAAATTTCCAGACCAAGTCTAGTGCCCAAAGAATCAGCCAGAAAAAAAGAATGGTGCTTGACCTGTCAAAACCACTATCTTGAATGAATGAAACCTGGAGTTGTGATGTACCATCGACAGATAGTACAAGAATGGGTCCTATCCATCGCAGGATCTACCACAGCAAATATAACTGCATAAAACCTTCAGAGATTATCTAATACATAGTGATAGTGGTAGAATGTAGGATGCAGGCAAGAATAGCATTTACAGAATGGCATAGCCAAAGAGCTGGGATTATCCATAAGAATATCTGCTCAATGTACTCGGCTTCCCAAGATCAGATGCGAGAAAACCTAAGCGATTTGGCCATCCAGAAGTACTGGCTAACCAAACAGATATCATGGTATTTTAGAAGAAAAGGAAAATACCAGTGATGATGAATGTAATAATACGATAGGCACATTAGGATGAAGGAATATGAAAAAGTAGAGAAAAATCAGAGCCTAAAAGAGGAACCAGGAAAAATGACTGGAAGCTAAAGTGACTTCGGCGGTGGTAGGAGCATTTGGCCCTAAGCTACAAAACTGGCTCCAGCAAATTCTAAAAACTACATTAGAGGCATTAGAGGTTTCTATCTACAAGGACGCACTGCTAGAAATTACTGCGAAAATACTGCCTTAAGCTCCAAGCCTTCCGGTAGAGGAATCGATATTGAGAATGGTTTTTACCACTCGCAAGGAGGGGAGAGAAGAGAATTTTTTGAAATATATAAATATATAATAAATTTTTTGAAATATGTATATATATATATATAAAGATCAAATGCAGTTCATTTATTGCGAAATATTCCAAAATGTCCCAAAAAGCGAGCTTCATGGCACTGTTTAATAAATTTTGCTCCCTTCTTTATTGTTTGTTAATTGAAGACAATAAAGGCAAAACTGGCATTAAATTAATGAACTGGCGATTTGAATTTTATCTTCACGCTGTTAATATTCTAATGAAGCCATCAAGTCAAATACAATTTCATGTTTAAACAATCTCAGATATTTCAAATTTTTCGAAATAATTCTTCGCACGAATTATGAATAAGTTGCATTACTTGAAAAAAGTAAAAGAAAAAGAGAAAGTAATCTATTAGACTTACTTGATATTTTCCTTTACTTTGTCGTTTGGCTAAACCTCTATCAAAAGTATCCAAAAATTTTTGTGTACTATATTGACATTCAGGCTGAGGTAAAGTATCATCCATCATATGTATATTATTGTTTGGTTGCGATGAAACAGCGCTAATGAATGAAACATTATCATCGTCTTCTTCGACCTGATAAAGAAATTAAAAATCAGTTGTAGAAATGTTATAAAATATAAGAAAATATTTTCAAGGTGATTTAACTCTTCCTTCATGTTCCAAATTGAAGATTACAGGAAAATTACTCCACCAAGCTTGCAATTATTGACTGTTGGATGATAAATTTTTGAAAAATGTCAGATGCGAAATTGTTCAGTTACAACGAAAAAAATACCTGTTCTACTTCATTCCCTAGTTCATCGATATCAGTATCATATTCTTCATCATCCATGTCTGTACCTTCTGTACCTTCGTCGCTCATTTCATCCTCATCAGTTTTTGGCATTTCAATTGTATTAATAGAACTTAATAGAACTTTGGATGAATCAATCGATTTCTTTTTTTCATTTCTTTGACTCATTGTTTCGAATTCTTGATTTGTAGTTCTTAATTCTTTGTTTGTGGTCTGAAAGTTCAGCCTGATTTCCGTATTTCTCTATAATGAAACAATTTGAGAAAATGATAGATGGATTTTTGAAAAAATCCGGAAATTTTTTGATTTAATAATTTGCTATTGAATAATTATTAAAATTATAACCGGCATAACTTTTCCTTCACTTATATCTGCATCTTCGTCTGGATCAAAACCAACCTAAATTAGCAAATTTATTCCATGAAGAATATATTGCATAAACTTCTAAAGAACCAAAAAAGACCTCTACGCTGTGCCATGGTCTATCATCAAATAGTTTTTTTCGATTAGCATTCGGTGACTGAGGATGGCTAATTTCAGAATCGAAATAACTCTTTGAACCCTGCATATTTTTATCTCTCAATGGCACCACATCGGGAAGATCTTTTTCGCTTTTTTTTACGATTGTCATCTGCTGGCGTCGAACAAGCTCCTAAATGTTTCATTTGAAATTATTACATGTATATATATATATATATATATATCTGGCCAATCAGCTGGATATGGTGGTACTAAATAAAAATCAGCAATAAGTTTTTTTTTGCTAATCCTTGAATTTAAGTTTATTTTTTATTATAGTTAAGAAATTTACTTTAAATTTATATTAGAGGACATGTAGCAACATCAAATATCAAATAACAAGAACCTTAGGAAGAAGAAATTTGAGAAATTAGAGAAATATCAGTGGCTAAAAGAAGAATTAGAGAAGATATGGAAAGTGATGGCCAAAATAGTATTGATAGGAGCACAGGTGACCATAAACTAGAAAAATGGTTATAACAAATTCCAGGTGCTATATCAGAGATCTCTACCAAGAAGAGCGCATTTTAGGAGCAGCTAAGATATTGCACAAAACCCTTAAGCTCCCAAGCTGTTGAGGAAAATTTATACAGCGAAAGGGAATTTTTCATATAATGAATACTTGGGATTGCTGCTGTATAATTTTCGAAGCTTGCTTCTGCACAGACGGTGGCTGGGCTGCAATAATCGATTCCAATAATTCCTTCACCATTGGTCTTGAGTCGTAAAGTGGATGAGCTTTTATTCGCGCTATTAAATTCATACTAACTGGGCCGTTTTCCATTTGTTCCAAAACCTTAAATGGAGACATAGCTAAAGTATAATGGCTAGATATCTTAATCAGGCTAGATAAGATATCTTAATCAGCCATTATTCTTAAAAAAGAATAATTCTTTGAAAAAATATAACTCATTATAACTGACTTACAAAAGAAAAGAATATAAAAAAGTTTAATTAACCTGATTCATAAGCATATTAAGCAAATCAGTTTCCATACGCCAAGTTTGAATGTTGATTGCTCGAATTTCATGCCTATGTGACGGAACTTCAGAATTCAGAGGTACAAAGGAAGGTCGTCTCGTCTCTACAGGAATGTATCTATGTGTTGAATCATATCCACTGGAAATTATCGTCAAATTTCAGAATACAACCGTTTCTAATATTTTTCAACATAAAATTACAGAAACTGAAAGAGTTCGGATTTTTTTAAGTAATCTTTAAATTTGAATATTGAATATTTCAATTTTAAATTATATACGATATAAAATCCCATGGAAATCCCATGAAAAATAATATATGTCTTATGTAAGTCGAAATAGGAAGTGAAAAGTAAAAGTGGCTTTTGTGATTTCTTTTACCTTGCTTTGAAATGAGGTACTTCGAAATCATTCGGTCTTTCCGGATTAATTTTTTGAGCATATAAAGCACTTTTTGTCACTTCCATCGTTTGCCATGCCTAGATTCAAATAAATGTTTAATTTAATTTAATTTTTTTTTCTCGGCATTCTCCATCATCTATCACTGAATAAACATCTATCTTTTATTAAATGATAGAATGTATTAGATTTTATCCAGTCGGTTTTCTTATGTCCTTACGTGAGAATGTGTAGAGATTAAAAAAACTAACACTGGATGGATTGGATATCAAATTTTTGTCCTTAGTACGACTATCTCTGTTAGCGGTACTTTGTAAGCGTGTCTCTAACTGCTTTAACCTTTCCAGAGGTTCATTAAAATCGTCTTTTATATCATTCAACACATTACTCGTTGGCTTTTGCTGTTCGAACAACTAGAACAAACATGTCTCGTAAAAAAATAAATAAACTAATGTTATTCAATAATTATTTTGAGATAGTTGTTTAAGTTCATTAAATCTTTTCCTAACTTCTATTTTCTCGTTTCTTATTCTAAAAACATTTTTATAACGAAATTAATAGATCAGTTTTCGCTATCAAAAAGGAAATATTTGTTCATCACCATACAAACAACTATGACGAAATGCAATAAGAAATAGAAATTCCACTTCTTTTTTCTTTTTTCAAATGAATTAAAGCCTAGTCCGACAACTTACGTTCTCTCCGCGCAAACTTTTTTCAGCAGTTGTTAGTTGTTTTTCTTCAATCTTGTCAGTTTTTCTTGCTTTAGGTGGCTTGACAGGTGAGTTTTCAATATAATCCTCAGCATCCTTTCGACGTCTACGAAATTCTTCAATCTTCAGCCTAAATTTTTAGAAATATTGGTTGTGCAGAAATACTCCACAAGCTGTCCAATACATAGAGCAAGCAGAAACAAACAGCACACATTGAATGGTACAACGATGTAATAATAGGAGCATTTGCACAATGTGTGGGCTAGGCTCTCCATGACCAGGTGGAGCCGTGAGGAATAAGGCTAAAATCTTTCATTCCTTATGGGCAAGCAGCTATTGGCCGATAGACATAATGGACAGGTATCAGCAGTAAGGATCAAAAAATAAGAGTAACGACACCAAATGATAGAAACACCAGGAAGAACGTATATTAGAATAGTGAAATACCAGGACCTGAAAAAAGAACAAAAGAAGACCTAAGCTATCCCATTGGAAGCAGTAGAACTCGGACTTCTGATTTTAAAAGTTACCCCAACAAATTTCGAGGATAACTTCAGAGATCTCTGCCCTGAAAAAAGCGGTGATAGAAATAAAGGAATAACTAATATGTTGAATAATGCTCAAACTCCCAGTCTTCTAGTAGAGATCGACACACCACCCGCATGGAATGAGGAGAAAATTTATTGGACCCTTAAACCATCGCTTAGCAGAAACCAACAAAAAAAAGCAAAATCGCTTCTGTTTTGCAATCTTAATAAACTTTTTTGTTTTCGAAAGGATATATAAAACTTCTCCAACACATTTAAATTTCTTAACATCATTATTCGAACCTCGAAGGTAAAATGCCCATATCCTTAAATTGTTAAATTTCAAACTCTCGGTAGCCTCCAAAATTTCTCACATTTTGCGATCCTCACCATCTTCCAAATCCCATAATACTATACTTCTTTGCCACAATTCGTTGATAAGGTTTTTTCCCCTCACACTGTTTTTCTTAATGCCACTCCATCAAACATAACAATACACTTCGCAACGATAAATTAAGAGCAATATGATGTAATTGAAGACACTGGTGGTTTTGGGTTTTAGTAATGATTAGAATAATATAATATGAAGGATGAGGTGATAAGAAGCGAGAATAATTGGTGATTTAGCGAGCGTGAAGGTAGCGAAAACTGAGTAATGTTTCAAAGAAGTGTAGTAAATTTTTAAGAGTTTTATCAAGGACTGCATTTGGATTTTAAGAGTTTTTACTAGTATTGTAATATTTTGTGAATTAAAATAATACGGTGCTCGATTAGACGCATTCGTAGAGAAATGAAAAAATTTTCCATGCTTATAGTATATATATTCTTATAGCATATTCTTTGATGAAGAACTCCCATGCAAATATGAAATTGCCAAAAATTTAACCTTGTGGCTGCACTCAAATGTCCAAAGTCCATGAAGACATCGGTCTCATCTGCCAAATCTTGCACCAAGATTGTTTCTGCCCGATCAATTAATGGAGTCGAATCAGTGATCTAAAAATTACTCATCTCTCGAGGAATATAAGAGAATTCCAAGTAAATGCTTATTATTTTTTGCTTTTTTTTCATCCAAATTCTCTTTCTGCTTGATTTTAAAAAAGATTTACTCTAAAAAAAGATGTGAATTTTCAAATCCAGTTTAAAAACTATGCAATATTTTAGGAAATCAGTAATTTGCAATTATTTCATAAATTAAAACACTGAAAATCTTGCAATTTTTGTTACTGCAATTAAAGCTATTTGATGCGTACTTGATTTTCAGGTAATTCTTGAATTACAGGCATATTCTCTTCTAAATTCAACCACCAATGATTAGCAATCTCGTAAATATCAGCTCTTCTTTCCGGATTCACTCGTAACATATTTCTAATTAACATTGATGCAGCTAAAAGAGCGAAAACTTTGAATAACCCAAAATGTAAGGAGAGAATAAACGAATAAACGACTGAAACCAACTTGATGGGGTGTCGGGCTCAAAGTAAGCTCCTCGCTTAATCTGCCTTACCATACGATTAAAATCACGACCATCAAAAGGCATCGAACCATAAACTAAAGTATATAAAAGAATGCCTAAACTCCAACAATCCACCTGAAAAGACACCTTGATTATTCAATTATTTTATTTTTCGGAGAGCAAGCTTGAAATAGAAATATCTTACTTCAGGACCTCTATATGGTGTTCCATTGATAATTTCAGGTGAAGCATAAAGTGGACTACCACAAAATGTTGTTAACAATGTTTTATCGCTAAAATAGTTCGACAAACCAAAATCAGCAATTTTTGCATTGTTGCTGTGGTCAAGAAGAATATTTTCAAGTTTTAAATCTCGATGTACGACTTGATGCTGAATGCAGTCATAATCATTTCATATTATGGCATAACAAAAATGGTGCAAAAATGAAATAATTTGCAACTGAGTGACAATAAATGTTGTGAAGAAATAGAAAAAAAATCAACCTTATGACAATACAGAACTGCGGATGTTATTTGCCTGAAAATTCTCCTCGCTTCAGCCTCAGGAAGTGATCCATATTTTCCAACATAATCGTAAAGTTCACCACCACTCGCATATTCCATAACCAAGATAATCTTATCTCTATTTTCAAATACTGAAATTTAAAAAATGAGTTCCTTTTTCTCATTCATATTTTAATTTCATCCATTGATTTTACTATTCTATAATTCTTAATAATGATTAACAAACTTAATTAATTATTTTTAATTCTTATAAATATAGTACAATATAGTATAGTACAATATAATACCTATATTTATTTAACTAGTGTATTTAGAATATCTCTTAAATATTTTATATCCCTTATTTTTAAAACTTTTAGTACATTTGTCAATATTTTCATTTTTTTCTTTAGTCAGTACTTCTCAAATTTGATTTAAAATTACCTTCGAAAATTTGTATTATATTAGGATGCTTGAGTGCTGACATAATTCTAATTTCCCTTCGAATTCTTACCAAATCCTGTTTATTTTCAATTGCACTTTTCTTGATTAATTTCACCGCTACCTGCATTTTAATTAGTCCAATTAACAAAATAATTAAATAAACTTAATAAATAATCTATTTAATAAATAAAATTATAAAATTATAAAAAAGTGCATAATTTATTAAAAAAATAAGAAAAACCAGCTTTATAAATGTCAATAAGGAATTTCATTCCATCGGTTGACATCTATTTTTTCAATTTTTTGTTATAAATAGATTCGGTAAATAGTATTAGATTTTCAATTAAATTAATGCCAATTAATTGAAGTGGCTCAGTGCGTTGTTGCGCAGTTCGAAGTGCAGATGCTGAGGTTGCCCGCAGGAGTAAACCTGTACAAAAATCCGGGTGATTTTGGCGACTCACTTGTATTCCTATCGCCAAGGGTTTCCTCTGGCATATTCGTTCAATGCGGCAAGCCGGCGGAAAGAGTTTAACCAGTAATGGTGAGGACTCAGAAAAAATTAAATTTAAAAAAAATTAATTAAAGTAAAACTGATGTAATCTTTTAGAAATGATATAATTTTTGTGTAAACGTTTCTCAATTAATCATTAACTCATAGTGTTTGGAACGGAAATGAAGTGATATTGAATGAACGAATCTTGAATGAAGAAAATCTCAACTAAATAACTCTTAAAAAATTTTTCCACATTAAATGATTTCCATATTAAGAATAATTTAAAATTTTTAGAATTATCCATTAATCCAATTATTTCCAAATTAGCGTTTATAAGCATCAAGAAATGGAAGCTACTCAAAATCACCTCACGCTCTGTTTTGTGATCATAGGCTAAGGAAACCTTTCCATAAGTGCCTGATCCCAATTTTTTGTTGATTTCGAAACGAAGCTTAATGTCACTTTTACTCGTGCCTGCACCTTTTAAAGGATGGCTTCCTGCAAAGAAAAGATATGATAAGTCTAAACTAGAATTACATTAGGTGAAAATGTTCAATAAACTAATTCATTAAATGAAAAGAAAAATTTTATCAAAGTTTTAATAGAAAATTTTGCTACTTTTGAACTTATGCTCTAAATATCACAAGACGACACTTGGAGCACAAAATACATCAGCCAATGAGTCCTAATTTTCATATACTAATTTTTCATATGATTTAAAACATTTTTAAATGGCTGAAATTTAGCTCGATTTAACGAAAATTTAGATGAAAGAACCAAGTGATGATTCTCCTCCTTGAGCACCGCTGCCATGTTGGCTTGTCCTTGATTTGGAAGCGCTAAATTTTCGTGAACTCCGAGTACTGTTGGCTGAACCACCTCCCGCACCAATCGTCATAATTCTGTTTGATCTCCGCACTGATTCGCCTAAATAACTTTATTTATATTTTATTTCTATAAATAATTCGATGGGATTATTTATTTATTGTCGTAAGATTTTCCTTGATTTTTTCATTTCCTTGGATATTTTGAAGGTAAAATATGCCTTAATTAGTAATCGCTGCACTAAATGAACAAAAAAATTCTCAAAACGAAGATTTATTGAGTAAATTGCAGTTTTATGACAAATGATAAAGTAGGCAAAAAGCAATCGTTAAAATGTGATCAAAGTAAACAGAAAAATGCAGAAGATTAAAAGAAGTGAAAGGAAAATTTCAAGATTTTTCGCCATCATCTTGCAAATACAATAAATATTGCTGATACTTTTCTAATTTCTTATATATATATATATATATATACAAATAAATAAACATCTAATTTCGATAGAAATAATTACTCGCATTTTTTCAAAATTTAAACCTTGAAAATGTACCAGAATATATGAAACATTAATATTATATTAAAAGCAGTTGTTTGAATCGGTTCAATTTTCATTTTCGAAGATGGCGATAACAGATAAACCATTGGATAAGCAAATAAATTTGTGGAAAGGCAAAAAAATGATATGATATGATAAAGTTCAAATAATGAATCATTAAATTTGATGTGTCGATGAATTTTAAAGATGATAAGTCCTGAGAACATGAAAAAAAAACTATAATAGACAATAGATAAATATGAAATTCATATATATAATATATATAAATAAAATGGAGGAGTTATTTAATTGAACTTAGTCAAATCAAGAATAATGAACGATAAAAATTATAAGCCAATGATGGATTTCGCAAATCATTCGTATTTTTCAAGTAGAAACTAGTAAATGATATAAATGAATTTATCTTATTTTTTTTTTCTATGATCATAAAATTTTTTCTATAAACTATCATCAATGAATCAATGTGGAAATGTCCCGGCAATAGCTACTTTAACGTTGATATGGCGCCGAAGTCCGATTTATGAATGGATCGTATTAATAAAGGCCAATAAAAGACATTAACTACTAGATCGAGGAAAACATAATGTTTTTTTAGATTTTTCTTCTATTATCTAAACTGTCGTCTGCAATGCATAATATTATAAGGGAAAGAATTTATTCGCTTGTTTTGCGCCTGAAGCAGTTAATTAACTTTCAAAAATTCACAACAGTGATGCTCATAATACATATAAATTATGATTTATGAGGGAAGTTTAAAACAATCAATCCAGCAAGCCGTCATATGATCATTTGTTAGTATCGACCACTGACGGATATTGCTGTCGTTTAGCAAGAAAGTTAAATCAAGGTTACCTCAAGAAATTGTCCATGCTTTCAACTCAGTCAGTTCCTACTTCATGTATTTTTATTTACTTTTCTTGCTATATAAGTCAAACTATGATTCTTGAAATAATCTAAATAATACGCTTCAACCATAAATTCTCCTTAACGAGTGGAGCTTAACAATTATATATGCGATTTTAAATGTGATCGTAATTTTGATAAAATAAAATGATAATTTAAAATAATAAAATATAAAACTATGAAAATTTATGGAAGTTCCAAATTCATTTAGGAAATTGTTACGCTGGATGCCTTTCCAATAGAATATGTCGTAATAATATAGTCTAGTACTATTCAAAAGTATGGGAAGTACGAATTTACATTTACATTTGAAATATTTTATGTAAGCAAAAGTAAGTGGTTAGAATTTATCAGTTCTAGCTCTACTAGATGTGCTTAATATGGTTAGAAATTTTCTCCAGTTACTTTGCATACGAGTGGGTCACTCGGGTTTTTTATTAACTACTTTTACTACTACTTACTACTTTAGATTTACTACTTTTAGGAGAAACTATCTAACTCTCTCTGGGCTATTATTCATTCTGCTATCTTGTTTTCTAAATTTTATCAATGCATTTTATGGGAGTTTTTTCATAATTTGTATCAAATGGGAATAGTAACATTCACAGTTTTGTATTTATTTCTATTTGTATTTATTTATTTGCATTTATCGTGAAATATCTTAATATAATATAGGTATCAAACTTCATGAACATATAACAAATTAACTGAATTTATTGTCTTATCAAACTGCTTGATATGGAAAAAGTAGCATAAATTGAGAGGAATCGCCACTGCTTTCCTTTACTTGAGTAACATATCGAACAAGAAAAATTGATTTTTCCGCAGTTTGATTTAAATACATAAGAATGATTAAGCTGTAGTAAGAAAAAACTTTGGGGAATGAAACGAAATAGCGAGAATTTGATGGTATGTTTCTCATAAAATATAACTTCTTTTCATAAATTCTTGAAAATGTGTTGAATGGCTAAATCAGATCATCTTTATCCTTATTAAAAAGATCGAGATGTTTGCAAGATTTGCGGTGGATTAGCTTGATTTCGAATCAATATTGTTCACTCTAACATCGAAAATGGCCAACGGAAATCACGTTGCACAACTAATTGCGAACTTGTTAATTTGTTAGAAAATCATAAAAAATACCGAAGAATGAAGCAATAAATATATCTCCTTTTAATTAAAATGATTGTTGTATTAGTGATTCAGTAAGAGTACTGCCACCAAGGGTCGAGGCTTGGCCTCGAATCCATCGGCGCACCACTCTTCGAAAGCTGACACTGTGGCCTAATAGTGAGAAGCAAAAAAGAAAGTACAGTGGCTCCGCTGGTTATAAGTCAGTTCGAAATGCTGAAATTCGTGAATGAAATTTTAAAATTTTATTTCTGACAGGAGTAAACGTGTCCCTCAGAAAGTCCGATTGATGCTGGTGACTCACCTGTACTTCCATTGCCAAGGAACGCCTTGGCATGTTTGTCTGGTCGAACAAGCCAACGTAGCGAGTCTAATCAGTAAGGGTAAATGCCCTTTAAAAAAAGGAAGTGAAAATGAATAAATATCAAATCTTTCTATTTGTATCTTTCTATTTGTAATCCAAATTTTTTCGAAATACTGCTGAGTATTCAAAATGGAAAAAAGGAATTTTCATTATTTACTCGAGAATGTTACAATTTTCAGTGATAAAAAAAGCGTGAAAAGATTTAAAATTAGCATAATTTATTTGTTTAATACCAAAAAAGAAATTCGCACTTCAAATATATGATAAAAACAAATAAGAATCTTAAATTTTACTATATTTATCATTATTGTTATTATTATTATTACTATTATTATTACTTGGATTATCTAACAATAAAGGAATGAAAGAAACGAATGATGAAAGACCTTACCGGGTGATTGATTCTACAATTAAGAATGAGAGGATATAAGTCTCGAGTATAAGTTGGTGTGTTACGCTGTGTAATGGCAAAGAACAGCCGCTAAAGCTAGAGATCGAACAACCTCTTCATTCGAAACAATTGGAGAAGTTTGGGTGATTTTTAAAAATTCTTCCTCATAATAAGTTTAATATTTCCATAAAATCTAAATTTGCAAATTTTCAATCTGTACTCGAATTTTAAATAATTAAATATAATAGAAGAAAAGAATACCAGTTCTAATCGTAAATAAGGGAAGTGAACTACTCACAAATGTAATAATCATAGAAACAAATAAATACATAGCAGATTTGATTATTTATTGCCAACAAGCATATATTAATTGTCCTTGGCTATGACAGCGTAAGATCAAGTTATGCACACTCTGTGTATAGATGATGATCATCTATCTGTATATCATTAGAAATTGGAAACGATAATCATTATCAACATATCTGATTAGCAGAGGCATTCTAAATGAAACTGAATCAGCGCCAATATTTTTCTTAAACTAAACAACTAAACAACAAATGAACTAATTAAAAAATTCTGTGGAGTCGATCTAAATGAAACTGTGCCTTTATTAATATTTATCCTAAAATAAACAATAATTTTCGATGAAAGTTGTCAAAAAAGTCCAATAAAAAATAATTTTATTAATTAATTAAGTAAATTTACAAGTTTTTACTATATCTAAAAACTTTTAAAAATTTAGTTTGACTTAAAAAAACGAAGAAATTTTAAAAAAGGAAGGATTTCATGGATTTGATTTCTTTTATCACTTCTTCCACCATATTTTCTCTTTTCTGAATTTCCCCATCGATAGTTTATTTGAAAATTTAGAAAGATATTGAATATTTATGATATTTATGCTAAAAATATTTAAATATAAATAAATAGAAAAAAATCTTTGGATCAATGCTTTGATTTCCCTGTAAAACTTTATTGCCTTCTATTATTTTCCACCAAAGGAAAACTTTTTTTTTGCTAAATTCAGCTTTGATTGCAAAATCAGTTGAACTAAATTAAATGAGATTGACAGTTTGCCTTTTTTAATAATTCCAAACTTTTTTGTAAATGCTATAATTTGCAAAAATGCATGGATCTTATCGAAACTAATATGGAGATCAACTAAAACATAATCCTTACCTCCAATGCTTCGTTAATTATATATTTTTAAAAAACTTCAATTGCTGTAGTTCGTTTAAAATAATGGAAAGAAAGATTTATCTTATTTAAAGTAAACTTGATTTTATCCTTAACCCGCAGTCCTTATTAGCAGTTTCATCAGCATTTTTTATCATTTTTTACATTTTTATTGCTTTATATAATATTTATTGACATTTTACCAAAAATTCTCGGTTTTTGACTGTAAGTATATTTTTATTTTATTTTCATCAACTGTTAGTGCAACTAGCAGATCGATTTTTTTTGAAATTTTAAACTATGGAATAATTGTAGATTGGTTGCTTTTTTCATAGTTCATGACAACAAAACATAAACAAATTTCTTCAACAGTTGCTTTAAGACTTAAAAATCAAAAAATGAATTAGAAAGCGATAAAAGAGACTGCAAGTTCTATTAAAGGTAATTAATTTTGCCTTTAAAATAATTAATTCAAATTTCTCGAAAAATTTATATTTTCATAACCATTTCACACATTAAATATTTAATAAAATCTTGAAAGCAGTTTTTTGTTTGATTCGAAAATACTTTGAATTTCATTTTTCCTCTATTTTTTTATATATTAGCATTTGCGTTCTCCAAAAGAATGAATAAAGCAAATCATAAATAATAATTCTGAGTCGTCAGAGAGCAGATTGTGTTAGCAGAAAAAGTTTTATTTTAGCATCGAATTAAGAAGAATTTAAATATTCGAAACTTGAACGTTTGAAATTTTAAATATTTCTCTTTGCTTTCAAAATTCTATTTAAAAATTTCTAAATGACTTTCGTTCCTTTTATAATTATTCACCGCTAAAACATTTTTGCCATGCATTTGCATTTTTCAATTTGACAATAAAAGCGTGCAAAATAAACTTTTATTGCTCAAAATCCAATTGAAAATCGAAGTTCATTATATCCAATTAATTGATTAATTTATTTAATAAAAGATGGCCATTATTTTAGGAAAAAAAAACATAAAATCATAGGAAAATAATCGCTCTCATATTTCTTGCAAAAATTTTTATAATGGAAATTAGCTTACCAATGTGATTGATAATAATGGTAAACAAGTGATAAGAACGTGAGATCGGTCAAATGATCTTTAATGAAGTAAATTTTAATAATCTGATACCGCAATTCCGACTTCATCTCAAATCGAAATAGCGACATTTGTTATAATATAACAATAGATGGTTGTTTAATATAAAAAGTAATAATGAGCAATCACCATCAACCAGTTAAGCGCCATATCCTTTCGTTTCTTTGGAAATTATCACTTCGCAGCAGGCTTTTAACCACTTTTTCTATGAATTTTTGGAAACTTTTACTATTTGCAATTTTACCTCCAATTTTGTAAAAAGTCCGTGGGAATTAACAAATCTCGTTGGAAATGAATGAATGAACAATCTTCAAAGATTGATAATTTTTGAAGACTGTTGGATAAAGGATAAATATGCCAGCAACTAATAGTAAATTGCCACCATCTTTAAGTAATATTTGTTTAAGAACTTCATTTTCAATAAATTGTCGCAGACCGTGTTTTTTAACATTAAATGTGCAAATAAATCAATATTCTAGAAATACTCAAATATTTTATTTTTTCGGCTAAAAACAACTATATTATTCTGTTTTTTAGAGATTTCCAGCTTTTGCATCTGAGAATTGAATAAAATTAAAGGCTAATAGTCCTTTAATAAAAATGGTTTACGTGAAATTTTTTATGGTAATTAAAATATTCATATAAGAAGAAAATAAACATTTGCTATATTTACTCTTCCATCTCTGTGATTCGAACTGGATATCTTTGGCAAAGCCTTTAAGGCCTTTTTCCTTTTTATCTAATAGAATGCATTCTTTTTCGTCAGTTTAGCTAAATACTAAGGTGAGAGCCATCGGAAAAAATGGTACTGAAGAAATTATTGTTTCTGTGGTTTGTTGGTCAAATTCATATTTGAAAGAAATGCCCAATTTCAGTTAATAGTAAAAACAATGAAATAAGCTTTTTGAAAGGATGCGTGGTTGCCAGGTTGAAAGCATATGTTGTAAGAACTTGATTCGTCACGAATTTTTTTCCGTTTAAAGAATCTAATACTTGATTCAGTTGGTGATTATCTATTAAAATTTCGGCACTCACTAACATAGAAAAATTAATGCAAATATGAATTTACAATGTATTTCAAGAACAAAATTTTTTAAAATAAAATACTGTTTATCAAATTATTTGCTAAATGACAGTTCTAAAATTATATAAAATTTGTGTGATAATAAAAAAATGATTTCATTACAAAGGAATTTATGCAACTTGTTAGCAAAAATATAATTGTCAAAAATCACGTTATCTCGCAATAAACATTCCATCGAATCTTGCAAATTCTCTTATTCGTCAAACATTTAATTATGCTGTTTTTAAAATCTTTTTTCGATGGTTTGTATTATTAATATCATAAATCCTTTAAGGCGAATTCTTCTCGACATCGTCTGATTAAATATTCGATGTGTTCGCACTGTACTACTGGATAATAATTCTTAATATATGCACAGTTTTCAATGGCGAATTTCAGAATATCGGGAGAATTGAATTGTCTAGCAAATGACCAAATGTTGAGGCAGTGATGCCGTTTTAGTTTCAATGATTCTCGAGTGGGAGTTGTTGTCAACTAAAAAAGATTTATTTGAAAAATTCAGTTTGGCAATTTTTACCCAACAGCCTTATTTATGAATAGCAGAATTCCCATGGAAAAAGGCGGTTTTGGCTTCTAAATCAATGGCCTCGAATTACCTTTTTGATAGATTTTAAAACTGCTGTAGGAACGATAGATAATTTCAGTTAAGGTGAAGTTCAAGTTCGAAAATTAATGTAATTTACCTTGTCAATAGCGATTTTCTTTTTATTCACTTGGTCCTTTAAGGATAATGGCAACAGTTTTCTATCCGCGAACCTTTGTCTATCTTGTAACATTTTGGCACGCAGTGCATTTATCCAATCGATCCCATTACTCAGTTCTATATCATCCTGAAATTCCACAATTAACTACCGAAAATCCTTATTCATTATTGATAAACTTTTCAACAAATGGCACAAAAGAATATTAGCGATGTTCCCGTATAAGAAAATTTCATCTTATAAATCAGTCACTTCTCCATTTAACATTTGATTTAATGAATTATATGAGGATTTATTTTCGTTTTCTTTCTATTATATATCAGTTTGCTGCGCTTAAATTTATGTAACGAATCAACTTGCCAATTCACTATTTGCTGTTATGTTAGCGGTTTGAACTTGGAATTCGTCCAATTTCGCACGCAAATCACTGATTGCCTTCTGTAGCGAATAAAATTTCTCCAGCTGTTTGAGGTCATATTGTTTTTTATATGGTAATGGCGTATGAAGCGATAATTCATTTCTTGGAATTGATTTGGTCAACGAATGATTTAATGAGTTCTAAAAAATATGAAAATTCAAAAAATTCTTTAGATGTTTTTTGTTGCTGAATAATTTCGGGAAAAACCTCTTCAAATCTTCGTGATTTCTCGTTTTTCCAAAGCTTTTCTCAAAGTAACATGGATTTTCACGCGCGAAAAACTTGGTATCAAAACAATCGAAAAATCGAATCGCTGGTCGAAAGTCGAATTTGAAATATAATGTAAAAAATTACCTCTTGATATTTAGCCGCTTTTATTTGTGCTTCGTCAGCTAATGCTGCCATCATATCATGATGAAGATCGTAAGATGGAGTTAAAGATGACTGTTTTCTGTACAATGACTTTTGTGTGACTGGCAAGTAATTGATCGTTCGCTTTAAAATTCGTAATTTATAATTTTGTTATTGACAACAAGTTTGACTTAAAAATATCAATTTTATTAATAAGCTAATTTCATTTAACCGAGAAATGCGAAAAAAGGCATTGGAAATTCATACTCCAGCCTCCTTTGGTTTCAAAAAAATTTGTTTTATTTCGTTTGGCTGGGAGTCGTCTTTAAATTGATGAGTTGTTAGGAATGACGACTGCTGAATTTGTTCGACAAATGAAGGTTGCACTTCTTGCTTATTTCTGAAAATTATTAAATGTTTTCATATATATATATATATATATAGTAGCAAATTTCATAAGAAAAAAAAAAAATTTTGTTTGGCGAGCGGTCGTTTTAAGAAATTATTCTCGATTTATTTTGTTTTACTTGGGAATTATTTCTGATAACAATTCAGCTAAGTTCTCTTGAACTTTTAATTTTTTTTTACCAAACAACGATTAAATAAAAAAAATTAAAATCAAATCAATTAAATTGTATAATATATATATATTTCATATATATATATACATATAATTATATATATATATATATATATACATTTTTTTTTTTAAATTTCATCGTCAATTTTATTTTCTTCAAATTTAATTTTTTTTTGTCTTTGGCAGAAGTAAACCTGCTATTATGTCAAAAAATCCGGGCGACTGCTGGGGACCCACCTGTAACTCTACCCCCAAGTGACTCTATGGTGAAAGGGTCAGATACATTTGATACGGCGCCCGCGTCTCTCGACGCGCATGATACCCGGTGGTACTTGCGATAAGTTTACAATCCGAACTTAAAGCGATCCCAAGGATGGTAAATAAAATGTGCTTTCAAGCCAGGATAATTGCTCAAAACCTATCAAGAAGGGGAACAGCCCTCTGCACTCGCGGCGAGCTATTAGCCGTATCAGGGTGGAACGTTAGAACGCTTATGGACGTTGCAAGCCAAGCGATCACTGTCCACACCCTGTCTAAGTATCGTGTGGATATCGCTTGATTGTCAGAGGTCCGTCTTCCTCACTTTGGGTCTCGAGAAATTATTAATCCTGGTTCAGAGCAGAGATACTGGCTATATCACTGTGGTGCTTCGAATAACTCGGGACGAAATGGCATAGCGATTGTCATATCTGACAAGACACATTCCTCTTTGATTGAGTGGAAACCGGTAAATGACTGTATGGCCTATACCCGTTTTAAGCGTAAGTTCTGCAATATCTCGGTCATCAGTGTCTATGCTCCAATTCTGTCGGCAGATGATCGAGAAAAGTTCTATGCAAAACTTCAACTAAAAAGTCTAAAAAAGTCTCTACCGAAACATGACATGATCATAATCGGGGGAGACTGGAATGCTCGCGTAGGTCATAATGCAGCTGCGATGACCTCAACAATTGGCAAATATGGTATCGAAGACCGGTATGCCAAGGGGAAACGTCTTCTTCGTTATGCCGAAGAGTATGAACTTTACTAATATTTGCTTCCGGCATCATAGATAACATAGAACTCCCTGGACAGCCAACACTTCAACCAGATTGATTATATCTTAGTCAGTCGCCGTTGGAAGAGTTCCGTACTAGATAGTCTCTATTGGAGTGACATGGCCTCAAGAATGGAGGCGATAGCTCGATTAGGCAACAATAGGAAACTATTCTGCCTTCTTCAGAAAGCAACTATGACTAGGAGAACGATCAATGAAATGGTAAGAGACAGCAATGGCGTACTAATTAAAAGTATTAAGGATCGCCTCATAAGATGGAAAGAATTCTTTAAGGCCAAACTTAACCATAAAGCGCCATCTGTTGCCCCTGATATAGTTGATACGTTTGCCGAAGCATACGTTTGCAATTGCGAGCCTTCAACAGAAGAAGAAATAATTTCAGTTATCCATAAGCTTAAGGCCAACAAAACTCCAGGAGAAGATGGTCTTCGGGCTGAGCTTTTCAAATGCTGTCCATCGTCCTTCATAACGCACCTTCAACAAATGTACTCTGCACTTACGGAAAAGAGAAATATTACCAGATGATTGGAGCAAAGTAATTCTGCTCCCAATTCTCAAGAAAGGTATTTCATCGACTTTGCAATTACCTTTCATTCAATTGATAGAGCAGCGTTTTGGAGGGTGGTGGAATATGATGTTGTCCCAGAGAAGATCATTCGACTCACAAAGGCATTTCATGGGCGTACGTCGGCGCATATCTGTGTATATGGCGAACTGATAGACTCCTTCGAAATAAAAACTGGTGTCCGTCAAGGTTGTAAGATAGATGGACTAGATAGATTGTGATAGATAGACTATCCGATAGACTAGATAATGGACACGGCTTATCGGGACTCAAAAGGTGCACAAATCAGTCCAGAGCATCGTATCACAGATCTTGAATACGCTGATGATCTAGTTCTTTTTGCTGACAATTATGAAGAAATGCAAATAATGCTAAATAACAACTGTTAGCGACTGTTAGCTGTAAAATGCCTCTTTTTATAAATTCATTGCCAATTTTACCTTTGGTCCACTCTAATACCAAATAGCCAGGCAAAAGACGATATTACAACCCAGATCACATAGAGAAATGTGTTCTTCCGCCTAACGAAATCTTTATGGAGCCATCTTAAAATCACCGTAAAAACGAAAGACCGCATCTATATTGCCGTGATCCGTTCGGTCTTACTATATGGTTCTGAGACATGGCCAATGAGAGTGGAGGATATTAAGAAGTTATCTGCTTTTGACCACTCTTTTCTAAGGTATATTTTATGGGTTCACTGAGTGGATAAAATCTCACTAGATCGCATCCACCTTCGTTCAAATACCACTTGCATAAGTAATGTTATCACAGAGCGCCGCCTTCGCTGGTTAGGGCACATTCTCCGTCGTCCACCACAGGAGTTGACGCATATTTCGTGCCAGCCTAACCAGTAATGGTGACAGCTGTTAGAAGAAGAAGAAGTAGGAAATTTTGGATTTGTATTAAGGTGAATCACGAAATAATCACAAATGCTGATTAAAGGACGTTTTATTATAGATTCCAAATTACGAATCTCCCATCGCTAATAATTTCTTCTTAAATCCTTTATTTGGAAAAATCCATAATGACCTTAATGATGAAAGATTTTGCGAAAATTGGGTCATGCCTTTCATCAATCGATCCTATAATATTTTTTTAAAATTATTATTGAAAATATCTTTCTAAAAAATTCTTTATAGTTAAAACTGTTTTAAATAATTTACACCTATTAAATTCAGCTTATATATGAAAAAATAATAAATCGGATTTGAAAAAATGAATTATCTACGAATTATATTAAATTTATAAGTTATAAAATAATAAATTAATAAAATCATATCTGTAAATTTTAACTAACTCGATTATTATTAATGAAAACTTCATTTGTTGATAGTCTTTCTGTTGGCAAAAATGAATTCAACCGATTTTGTTTCATTCTATAATCCTTTTTTTAATAATTTTTTCACAAAAATTATTAATATTATTAATATTACCAGTTTTATTTCAATTTTATTATATAGTTGTAGCACTGATTTTCATTTGTAGCACTTATTTTAAAAGCCTTCGCCAATAAAATTAAATGAATTTTGATTGAATTTTGAATTTTGATTAAAGAGATGCAGATTTGTCTCAATCTTTTAGTCCTCAAACAACGATTTTTTTAGTACCATCGGTGGAATTTATAAATGGAAGTGAAGACTGTTATTTAATTTTAAAAGCTTACAAATCATTTAAAAAATCGGAGGGAGGTGTAGTATTTGGGTTATAATCAATATATCCACTTTGTGCTGCAAGCCTATGCATAAAATCATGTGGAATATGGAATATGCGTGAAAGTTGCCTCGCTGCAGGTGGCAGGAGTGGTGCGACCGTATTAATTGTTACTTTATCTGAAGTTTTATCCGGCACAGAAGTTAAAACATCGAGAGCTCCCTGAATTTTTATAAATAACCGAAGAAAAACGAAAAGTTATTGCAATGCACCAAATGAACAAAAAGCTTAAAAAGCTAAGCCTTTCATTTGCTTTATAAGCTGATATGCTGAATATAAATTCTGATAAAAATGGTTGCTCGCAAGTCGATTGATATTTATATTATTTATATATATATATATGTTATTAAACATCAAAAATTGCTTGGATGAATGAAATCTCACTTCGCTTATTTTAAATATTTTTTGTAACTTTTTTAATAATAAAATTTTAAGCAAAAAGAGAAATTGAAAAAATAGACTTAATAAACTTACACGTATCACTTTTTTAACATCTATGTAATGTTTTTTCTCTTGACAATTTCCATAATTTAATGCAATAAAAAATAAAATAATTGGTTTTATCAGCATTTTCGAAAAGTAAACACTAAAAATCAAAATATTCAATAAAAATTTTTTAAATTGAAAATCCGATGTGAAAAGGTTAAAGAAAGGATGGCGTTTGATCGCTCGAACATAATGAAAACATTTCACGCTGAAAATTTTATGAAGTAATTTCAACAATTATTTATATATAATTCAACAAAACTCATCGTATTAAAGAAAAATAAAAAAAACGAATTTCTAAAAGACAACTAAAATCAAAAGAAGCACAATTCATTGAATAAATTAAAAGCAAAATTAGTATTTTTTTCATTTCTAATCGTATTATGCTCGTTCCGATCCAGACAAATTCTATTAGAGAATTACCTGGTGACAGAATTTCGAAGAGATTCTTGCCAGGTGTAGAACCCAGAATAGATCCTCCGAAATGAGAGTAAATTAATCATTAAAAAAAAATTAAAATAAGATCTTAACCAATTCATAATGATGATTTTACGCTACCAGTGCACTAAATTCAAAACTAAATATTTGATAAAATTAAATAAAAAATGCAAAGAAAACGATTGTTAACGCATGGAATCAAATAAAAAGATTAATATTTGCCAAATGAGTTAAACAAAAATTATGGCTGTGAGAAATCAAGGACATAAAAAAATCTTGATGATAACAAGGGACACGGTGGCAGTTAATTGCAGAAGACTAATAATATGGGTTTGATCCTTATTCCTTAATGGTATAATTAAAATTAATACTCTCACTTGTCTTTGTGAGGTTGTTTAGAGAAAATGTCTCATCCCGAAATCAACCAAGTGAGATGAATGCAGTTCGAAACTCACAAATTAAGAATGAGGAAAAAACGAAATCAAAAAGGATTCAAATAAAGTTAAAGGCAGAAATTTTCAGTAAAAAAATTATTGGTTTATGATTAATTGAAATGTTTTTCGCAGAGAATAATGCAGAAAAATATTTTATAAATTACAAATGCTTAATGCATGCATGCACGACATAGTCGAAAAATTTACAAAATAAAACAAAACTCCATGGAAATAAAAAATGATTTATATTCTAATTTAGCACAAACAAAATTCAATGCGCCCTTTTTCTGATATGCTTTGTGCGTCTGAATTATATTTTTGGGTCAACTGTAATAATATTTAGACCATATATTGCAGTTAACCTTCGAACTACGGAATTATATCGAATAATCGTGGTTGTGTTGACATAATTATTTTATTCCATCGCAAATGGTTTGTAGAGGATAAAATAAATGATATTGCGTATTGTCCGCTATAATTAGAACACTAACATTTCTGAAGTCATAAAATGCAGTAAGAATTGTATTATGATTTGGTTATTATTTGTTATCTGAATTTAGAATGCTATGATGTTTCAAACTCCAATGATGTGCTAATAGATTTTTCGGCTACTCAGATGTTCTATAGCATTCAAAATTTTTAATACAAAAATTATTAATTTATGATTGAAATTGCGATATTTTTTCTAAATTCAAATAATATAAATGTAATTTCTGCTCTATTCCTCGCACTAGATTTCTAAATACGGATGATACTGGCTACTTACCTGCACTTCAATCGCCAAGGGACTTCCTGGCATATTTGCTCTATAAGACAGCGGAGGGATTCTAACCAGTAATGGTGAGGGCTCTTTAAAAAAAGGTACAAATATATCTGGTAATCTTGAAAAATTAAAAATTGTTTCATTTTTCGTTTAAAATCTACTATTTTCGCAAAAAAACTCAGAGAAAAATAATTTTATTCTGGAATTAATCCTAAAAATCGGAAATTTTCTACTCAAAAGGAAGCCAGTTTAAGTCCCTAACTATTTCCCATATTATTATTATGTACATAAACAGTCGGATACTGGAGAGATTAATTTTTAACACACTATACAATTTTATTGTCCCAACATGGTTTTAAGCCAAAATCCACCATCTCCCAGTTATTGGTTAGCCTTCATTGCTGTCCATTCTCCATAGCCAAATGGACTCAGTTGTCTTTTTAGGCTGAATCTTTCGATAATATTACACATAAACTGATAATTTCCTCAATGATTCTGGCATCACAAATAAAATCTGGGTAAATTATCCAAGATGTTTCCAGGTCATCTATATAACTAAAATTCTGATTTTTTTTTTGTGGCTAAGATAGCCCAAGGTAGTTGTAGAGGGGCTTTTTAAATATACATTAAGGTTATCATTAATATTGTCTTGAATTCAAATTTTCTTGTATACATACATACTGATAATTTCTCGGAGAATTAAAATGTTCTTCAAACGATTTAAATAATATAAGTTATCTGGCTATAGGGGCATACAGATCAAATTATCGATAAATCCGATCCTCCTGTTATCTCTGTGATGCTGTGTTTGACACTGTTTGACACTGTTGATACTGATTCGCGTAAGTAATTTTTCAGACCGCGATTTATTAATTAGCGAGAAACCTGACTTCGACATATATGTTAGTAGGTATACTATTACAAACTCTCTTAGAATTTTGAACCTTAAAACTTCTAGAAACTCAGAAGATTAATTCAGTCGAAATAGTTTATTTACCGAGTAGAACTACATTTTAGGGTCTAGATTTTCTAGGGCGTTTCAAGCCTAGCCTCCCCTCTAATCCAAATTAAGGTCATATGATCTTGATTTACTAAGAGCTAGAAGAATCAAATCAAAGATCCGATCACTACTTACAAGATTTTATTCAGCCACATCAACCTGAACTACTCTTTTGTTTTGAGTTCAGCAGTTATTAAATTTTAATACTTCCGACTACCGTTCTATCTCGCAGTTTTTTCACTATGTTAACTACTGGAACAAATCACCACTCCATGTTGTTTTTACATACCCATTCCCAGTCTTAAAAGAAATGTTAACAAGAAATTATCCACAACATTTTGTGAAAAGATTTGAAGCTTCGATTCGATATTACCACTATTTCTTCGCCTTTTTCCTTTTGTTTTACTTTTTATTATTTTCATTTGTATTGCCCTTTGCATTTCATTTTTTATCATTAACTTCAGCATATGGCTTTATGTTGTTCTACTTGGTAAATAAATTATTCCCAGAAAAATAATTTTGAGGAAGCAGTGACGAAGAAATCCTTCATCGCTTTCGCTACCCAGAGCTATTTTTATAGTCTTTTTAAATAAATAATTTTATTGGAATATGAGATCGGCGAATAATTATGAAAAATTCATGGATTAATTGATTGTATTTTGAAAATAAATGCGATACTGAAAATGGCTTTTGATATTCTTATAGAAGTTGTGCTATGGATGTTGTATTTTGCTTGTCTTACTCGGTTTTTTCTGTGAAATTCGCTGAGTCGATCTTTGCTATTAAAATTGGCTATTCTCATGGACATATTTAAAAATTAATTTGCTCCAAAAATTAGGGAAAATTCCGAATAAATTGCTACTGCTGAAATTCCAAATATTTTAAACAAATAATAACGATTATAAATTAATAATATTTCATGACTATCAAACTTCATAAAACTTCATAACATAATTTTATTTCTGCTTTATAAGTTTTTATCCGCGATCGCCTATCAAAAGACTTAATTTATTTATAATTCATGTTTATACATGTTTATATGCTTTTATTGGCGAAGTTAAATTATCTATAGTTAAATAATTAGCAGTAAGATTAATGGAGATAAGACAACTTCTTTACGTCGCCCTATTATGCTTGATCAGACTGTTTGAAGTATTTTTGTAAATTCCGGTTGGAGAAGTGTCTAAATATTAAAATATTAAAAGTGCAAAAAGAATAAATCGACATTAAAATGGAATTGTTAAAAAAAGATTCAAAACTCAGTAACAATCGATACATTTAATTATATCTCAGGTTTATTGGAAAAGTCTAAAGAATATCGAAAAGAGTTTGAAACAAAGAAATTATATAAATATCTTAAATATTAAATCTCATATCCATATCCAATCTTGTACTAATACCCACTCTTGTACCAAATGATTCGTGAATCGTTAGATTTGATAGGTGTAGGTGTGTAATTTCTCCCATCTGATGCCATTCTAAAACCATCAACATTTCTTCGGCCACTGTGCGCTCAATTCTGCTACATACTGCAAAACATAGCCAATTAAAGGGATAGGAAAAAAGGGAATATCTTTTGTACTTCTTTAAATTATCCATAAGCTCAATGCCACGCTTTTATCCCGGTCGTTGTAAATTATCGCTCACAACAAATCGTGGTAATTTCGCAAAGCCTTATTCGCTATAGTTCGCTAAATATTCTGTGTAATTCTTATAAGATTCCTAAATTTATAATCGTTATACAATTATTACATTCAACACAGGTATATTATACATATATATACCTATATATAATATAAGGAAAGACGGTATTGATTATCGGTATTGACGGTATTGACGGTATTATGAAAGATCCTCATATTGATCGAGAACAACACTATCTACTGACTAATAACCTGCTTACCCACAAGGGAAGTTCGGCATCATAGCATCAAGTTTCATGATCATATAAGCCAGTATATGAGTGCAGTTCAAAAAGACATTGGGAATAATATCAGAGGCTCCAAATACCAGTTGCTCATAGATAAAACAGTCGCTCTAGACTTAAAATCTCAGCAGACCAATGTATACTTAGATTGTCTATGATACCTAACACGGATTTGTGAATGACCGTCTCTATATAAACATCAAAGTCAAAGAACCTCAAGACGTTCATTAAAAATCTCAATGGGACTGTGGAAAAAGACACAAATATATATTTATATAGATAAAAATAAATATAAATCAACAGATCAACTTACAAATACAATACAAATCAACTTGAAACAGCTTCCACAAATAACTATCAAGTGCGGCTTATATCAAGGTGATGTATTGTCTCCTCTATTGTTTTACATAGATCTAAGTTCCCTAATATAGATAATCACCAGAAGTGGATACGGAAATTCAAGAGAGGGATTACCATCAGCCATCTTCTCTAGATGGATGATAAGTTATACGCAAAAAGTGGTCGAGACATTGAGCATCCATCTAACTTGGATCTATGATGAAGACATTGGGATGTCATTCGGATGTGGCCGGGGTAGTAAAGAGAGGAAAAAGAGAAATGATTGATGCATCTACCATCTGAACATATAGTAAACATATAGGCTAGCTACCTTGATATCCCACAGTTACATGGTAACCACAATGAGAGGGCAAGGAAGATTGCGTCTAAGTATTACCAAAGAAAAAGACAAATCTTGAAGCGCCAGCTCGATGGGAACAGAATCCCGGAATCCATGTTATAAATATATGCACCCTGCCATTCAGGTGCGCAACTGGCATTGTAAGATAGACAAAGGAGAAATTGCTGATGTAAAGATCAGGAAATTCCTACAATGCATGGAAATTTCCATCCCATATCCAATACCCAAAAACAATACTAGCTGGAAAAAAGACGGGTGGGGCTTGATGTGTGCGAAAGCCACTATCTTGAAGGAAACTCGAAGTATTCAGAAATATATCAGGAAGATGATGTCAAAGGATAGAATATTTAAAATATCTGAGAGAACGTTTGAAGATGATTAGATGGCATTATCTACAGGAACTTCTACTCACTATATGGCTTTAACAGTCCTAAGACTGAGTGAGAGATTCATCAGAAAATCGTAGAGAACAAAAAGGCGAAGATCATGTGGGACATCTCCATCCAGACAAACAATTACTAAGCAATCAACCAGATATCTTGTAGCAGACAAGTATCGGCACAGGTGATAGATACAGCAAATGATAATGTCAGAAAGAAGGAATATGAGAAATACCAACTGAAAGATAGATTAAATTAAATAGATTGAGATAGAATTTACTAACGAGGCATATAGCAGGCATATAGAAAACTGCTAAAAGAAGAACCCTGAAGGAAGATATATCAATAGTTGCTAAAAGAATATCTGAAGCAATAAACATTGGAGGAAGATCAAGGAGAAGATCAAAGTAAGACATGGTAAGACAAAATTTTCTATAGCATATATCATCGGCAGATAGTCAAGGCAACTGGTATTGAAAAATCCTACCATGACTGGAAAAAGTATAATGTAAAAGCACTGAGACATTTATAGCACCACAAGAGCTAAGCACCAAACCCACAGGAGTAAGGCTTACTAGAACGGGCTTAAGTTACGGGTTTTGCAAAAATATAAAAGAAGAAAGCGTTTAATACATAAAATAGCAGAATTAAGACAGAAACAGCATACAATTAGGGGCATTACCAAACAACTGACATTATCCACAGGACAGAACATTTGCATAATACATGGACTAGATTCTTCCAAGGCCAGATGGGAGATTCCAAAGAAAATCATGGAGAGCAACAAAGCCAAGACTTTATCGATCCAGAAGCAATTGCTGGCCATCCAAATAGATATTGTGAAATAGTAAATAATAAATAGGAGGCAACAGTGGATATAGTTTCTCCTTCTTCTTCTAATTGTTCTTACTATTATTGGTTAGGCTGGCTCCAAGGGTAAGACGCTTCCAAGCTGTGCCATCGTCGACAGTAATGTCCATATATTGCTGGTCCACCTATACGTTCAAAATATTTTCTCACTTTATCAGTCCAGGTCTTGATTGGCCCACTTCGTTTTTGATGACAATCCTCACACGGTTTAGCAAATAACGAAATAAGCGTCAACTCCTGTGGTGGACGACGGAGAATGTGCCCTAACCAGCGAAGGCGGCGCTCTGTGATAACATTATTTATGCAAGTGGTATTTGAACGAAGATGTATGCGATCTTGTGATATTTTATCCACTCGGCGAACCCGTAAAATATACCTTAGACAAGAGTGGTCAAAGGTAGATAATTTCTTAATATCTTCCACTCTCATTGGCCATGTCTCAGAAGCATATAGCAAGATCGAACGGATCACGGCAATATAGATGCGGACTTTCGTTTTTATGGTGATTTCACGACGATTCCATAAAGGTTTCGTCAACCGTGATCCGAGTTGTAATATCATATTTTGCCTGTCCATTTGGTATTAGAGTAGATCCAAGGTACTTGAAATCGGGCACTTCCTCAACCTGCAATGAATTTACAAAAAGAGGCATTTTATCATCTGTGCTTGCTCTGCTCCTTGTCGATCAATTATTTCTGATGGCTTTTATTGTGAATTTTTTTTTTCGAAATTTCTGAAAGTTTTTTTCAAACCGGGCTAAATTTTTTTTTCTAAAATTTAAAAAAATAAAGAATTGAAATGAAATATATATAGAAAATTTAATTTAATTTATGAAATTTAATTTTTTTTTGTCTTTGGCAGGAGTAAACCTGCTATTATGTCAAAAATTCAGGTGGCTGATGGGAACCCACCTGTAACTCTATCCCCAAGTGACTCTATGGTGAAAGGGTCAAATATACAGTGGGTATAACAATAACAGATGATTGGAATATTAAGAAGAAATATGAGAAATAAGATATAAGAGCCTGAAAGAGGAATTGTGGGAAATAAAGGCCAAAGCAATTTTATTGATGTCGGAATTGTAACTTCTATGGAAAACCATTAGATTCCAGGAACAGAGGCTTCTTTTTGACTGCTAGGAACAGCTAAGACATCGCACCGAGCGACTTCTACGCTTCTTATAGAAAACTCAAAGGACTTAGAGGTTAATGATGAGCATACCAAGCATAAGAGGTGAGAATTTTTTTATATGCTAATTTTTTTTACATACTTTTATTAAAATTAAGAACAAAATAAAACGCATTCAAAACAACATTAGAAGAAGCCAGTTTTTTACGATCATTCCATACGATGCCATTCTGAAATATCCTTTTTGTTCGTAATTTTTTTCAGACAACTGTTCATCAAAAAAACCACTTCTATTAATATTTTTTGCATCCTTGGAAAATGTATGTTCTTTCGCAAATCATAAACTTCGTGTATTCATTCTTAATTCAAATTTTCCCTTTGCCTTCGTATATCCCTTTGCTATCATTTTTATTTAAAGTTTATAAAAGTTTAAAATATTATTATTCTTTGTACTTATTGATTGATTTTATCTACATATTTTCAAATAAATTAGGCAAAAACGCTTTGTGAAATGAGAAAATAGGCTTATAAGATAAATAATCGGAAAGAAATCGCGGTATTTCACGGAGAGAAACTATTTGGGAATTTTTCACTGCAATAAATATTTTTTTAAAATAATCATAGTCATAATTCACAGAATTCATTGAACAACCCGTTTCATTCCTAACTGAACAATGATTACCATATAACCCTCAGTATATGCCTGAGGCAAATGATTTATACGATGGACAAGCGAAACAATTAAATTTTTTCGCACATTAGAAGCATTTTCGAAACACAGCTAAATTTCAAGGGGGGTGGTTTGGGAAAATGAATTCATCGAACATAAAATTATCAGTAATCAGATTCCAAATCTTTACTTAGTATTAATTATCTGCATAAATCCATATTAAAGGAGAATTTTTTACAAAATATTTTTAAAAAATCAACTAAAACATTTTAAAAAAGGTTGATTTACAACTTTTAATTCTTATTTTTTTTATATTTCTATATTTTGTTCAATTAAATTATCTTCGATTATTTTCAAATAAATATAATAAATATAGATTTTAATAAAATTATTCATTAATCACCCATTTTAAACGTTATTAAATAATATTAAATTAATGATATTTTTCGTTTATTATTCGAAATTATTTAAAGAATTTCTTAGTAAGAAATAAACAGAATTTGACTGATTCAAGCATTACCAATGCATTTAGATAAGTTTGTTACTCTTCTTCTTCTTACTTTTACTTTATAAAAATAAAAGTAAAAGTAAATTGAAAAAATAAAGAATCGAAGTTAAGAAATTTCTAATCGAAATGCAATTTTTCTTTTTAATTTTCAAATTTAATCTTTCTATTCCAGTCGAAGTTTAATTTCTCATTATCTTTATTTTTTCCTTTTTTTTTCTTTTTTTTCATAAATATCTTGTTTCATTTTTTTTAAAATTGTTCAACATTCGCTTGAATTCATTTAAATACTTTTGAAATTTTCTGTAAATTTCTGATATATCCTATAAAATTTCCAACAAATTCTTTGTTTGTCCATACAATCATCTTCACTCAGAGGTCGACATTCAGGGAAAGTGTCGAAGAATGCAGCTAAATTTATTTTCCATGTTTGTTGCTTATAATGAATTGTGTTACCTTATGCAAATTAACAAAAAAATAAAAATAAGTAATTTCACTGATCGTAGTGTTTCGAGAATTCGGGAAGATTTTTGTAATATAATAGAATATTACATTTATGCATAATAATGCGCAATTTTAAAAATATTTTAAATGGATCTGCAATTGAATAAAAATATTTTTAACATTCATTTTGTAGTCAAAAAAATATATGCAAGTTTATTCTTTGAATCTTTAAATCTTAAATCTTAAATTAACTTTCAAATAAATTTATATATAAATATATAATGGATCGGTGGCTTAACAGCAAAGTAACTACCATCGAGAATCGAGAATGGCTCGAATTCGGTCGATGCACAACACTTCGTCAAGCTGCAATATCGCCGAACAACGAAAGTAAAAGGAAGTTCAGCGGGTTGTTGTTCTTGGAGCTATGTCAAGCAGGAATAGATCTGTCCTTCAAAAATTCTCTTAATGCTGGAGACTTATCTATATTTCTATCACCAAGTGAATTCTTGTCTGATCCGAAAAGTCAGCGAATCGAGCCTTATTAAATGATAAGCAAAAAGATTTGATCAGAAAAGACACGGAATAAAATGAGAATTTGAGATAAAATTCAACGAAATCCAACGAAAAAGTTTCAGAAAATCTCAAAAAATATTGCCATTTTGATAGAAGCAAAGAAAAATGAGCAAAAATAGAAGCAACCTTTGAAGAATTAGGAGGCAAGAATTAGAATTAGAAGAAGCAACCTTTGAAGAAATTTTATGCACTCGACAATCATAAAGACCAAAGAGATTTTTCATCATTTATCAAGAAAGAAAATTTGCTGTGTATCTTTTCAGTCTTTTCAGTTCAATAATTTTTCCTCCATTGTTTCCTCATTTATTTTTATGATTTTTTCTTCAGACTTGCTATTATAAATGATAAATGAAAAATAATCAATTTCATTCCTTTCGGTTTCGGATTTCGGCTTCAATAGGATTTTTTAAAAATATTTTTAATAGCTTTTAATGAGAAATTTTGGTATTTTTTATTTATTTAGATTTCAACAACGATTGGAAATCTTAAAAAACTTCCATAGAAATCAGAGAATCAAAAAAAATCGAAGTTGTCGAATTTAAGATCGACTTTCTTTAGCTAATCCCGTCATTTCTAATTGTTCTTTCTTCTTGAAAGTTGATATTTATCTAGTTCGATGGAAAATCTCTATTTTTCTAATTGCGATACTTTTCTTTTAACTGCATAAACATATATTTTTAAATGTTTTATTAATTATCGACATATCGAATAATTCTATATTATTGTCCTTTAAAACAATCAATAGTTTTTCATCAATCAAGAAAATTTTGAAATGGAACAAAACCTGGATTCCCTTGTGATGTAGCATATAATTTAAAAGGTTCTAAAAATTCCAGTTACTCCTCGCTTTAAATTTCCTCGATCACAAATTTCATACTTCATATTTTCCATTAACAGTTATGATTTCAATTTTTCCATGAATCAATTGACGTAAGAGAGACTATTTTACCAAAAACTTTGCTACTAGGAAATTTTCGAAAATACTCACAAGGCTTCCGTTTGAATATGGATGCAAAGGGCTTTATTCCCACTCATTTTATAGTATGGTTTTTTAGTTTTTAGTTGAAATGCTAAATGGTCAAGCTACTCATGATCACGGATATTGCGATTCAGAATGTAACACAGATAAAAGCTTATCAACCGATATTCCATGCCAAACGGTACAATGCATGTGAGTTTATAAAGCTAAATTCACGAAGATTATAAAATATAAACACATTATTTAAGTAAATATTCGAGTATTTATTATATTGTATATATATAATATAATTTGGTACTTTTTCGAAATATTTAGTATAGTATGGGAAATAAAATTGCATAACCTAACTTGTTACTTGTTAAAAAATTAATATTTTGAAATTCTATAAGAGAAAAATTCTTTTAGAACACCTGTCAAGTGCTATAAACATTCAGCAGCATTGGGCAGTAAAGAGCGGGATAACCGATTCGCACCCACTTTTGAAATTAGCGATGATAATTGGTGTCATGATGATAGTAACGCATCTGACTCAGGGCTCTGCCTTGCTGTGACTAGTGCACGGAATGAAAATGCAGAGCCCAATACAGATATCAATAAAAATTTAGAAATAAATACAGATCGTAATTCTGTGAACCTAGATTCAAATGATGGAATCATTGAAGAAAGAGCAGGAAATTTGACATCAGCTTACGAGGAAGCTGAAAGAACGGCGAATTTTATGAAACGGAATTCACCATCGTTAGTCGAGTGTTTAAAAACAACCAATGACGGAATAAGCGAAATGGCTACAAATGTCTCAGGTAATATGGAATCCAAAGTGTTGCAAAAGATTGACGATTCCTCACGAAATGAAGGCCAGTGCGCAACGACAAGAATTCCACTGCGAAAGCTTCGACTTAATTTCGATTTTTCACCGATCGATGATGATAATTTATTACTAAATTTTCAGCTGAAACCAAAAAAAATTATTACATATAAAATACAACCTTTCAATAAATATAAATAACTGATCGATTTTTCCAAAGCTTTTTACTGTGTTTGCCAAAATATTTCCAACAATCATTTGCAATATTCTTCGCTGATTATTGTTAATAAAATCAAATTCAATCCTTAAAGAAACCCTTAAAGGTGGGCATTTTTTGAAATAAATTCGACAAATGATATGATTAACCAATCAATATCGATATAATTAATGGCTTATGACAATATGATTTGATAACTGATATTCGAACAAAACGAACACATCTTTTGATGAAAAAATGTTGTAATATTTTGCATATTCTGAATTAAATGATAAATTTTATTTTATTCATATTTTATTGAACAAATATTCGATTTAAAGAAGTTTTAAAGTAGGTTTTTAATTTTGTACAAATTAAAACGAACTTGGAATTATATCAGATTGCATTGGCAGGCAAAAACCGTGTTTGCGCTTAATTTATTACAATTTTTTCGCATTAAATAAAATTTATTTGCATAATTAACGTATAAAAATTGTTGGAAATCATTATATCTGAATACTGAATAATATTTATTATTGTTCTTGAAGCACTTTCTCGAAAATGAAAATTAACGGGCGTATGTAGGAAAAGAAAAATTATCTCATTTTTTAAGCCCATTATAAATAAATGTGCTTCCAATAAATGAAAAATCAGAACTTTGTTTTTTATCACCGCGACTCTCCAAAGATTTTACCAAAAATTTGGCATTCACTAATTCACTAATAAAAACTTGCATGTCTATGATATTTCAAGGTGATTCACATAATTAAGCTTTAACTTAATAGTGCAGCGTAATTATTCGACCAAACGCAATTTAAAATAATAATTATATTAATTGGGAACAGTTCAACTTCTGCTCTGCCAAAATCATTAAAATTTTTGATTATTGTAAATTATTGTAAATATATATTAAATATATAAATGTATTGTTGTAAATATATTTGATCTATAGATTATAAATATTATTCTTCGATGGTGTCCCAGTTTTTAAGGATCACCTCTTCAGATGGAATTTGAAGCCAAAGAACTTAACCATGATTTGCCACCTGTTCTCACGGACATAGATTCACTCGCCAAGCTATACGTTTGCGAATCGCCAACAGAAGAAGAAATAATCTCCGTTATGCATAATCTTAAGGCCAATAAGACTCCAGTACAAGATGGTCTCTGGGCTGAATCCTTCAAATGTTGTCCATCATCCTTCATAACTCACCTTTAACAAATGCATTTTCTGATATGGAAGAAAGAAATATCACCAGATGACTGCAGCGAAGCAATTCTGTTCTCAATTCCCAAGAAATATAACAGGATATACTAGAAAATTGTGGAAAAATCAATCTGCTAGACGTCTCAGCGAAAATTTTTGCTTCTCTTCTATTGATTTATGGTTATATGAGACAGCAGGAAGCGCCTTAATCAAGCTGGATTCAAATCGAGGCGCAATTGTGCTGATAAGATATTCACATAAGGGTGTTAGAACATCGCTTCAAAAATCTACAGTTCATATTATATGTTTCATCGATTTTACGATTTCGATTCCACTGGTATAACATTGCTCTGGAAAATGATGGAATATTACGGTATCTCAGAGAAGATCATTCCACTCATAAAGGCATTTTATCAGCATATCCTGGCACAGGTCTGTGTACTTGGGAAACTGACTGAACCTTTCGAAACAAAAACTGGTGTCCGTCAAGCATGTGCCCTTTCTTTACAGTATTCAACTATGCGATAGAATGGATAATTAAAATCTCTTGTCGGCCCTCGAGAGGTATACAAATCAGTCCAAAGTACCGTGTTATAGATCTTGAAAAAGATAATGATGTAGTCCTTTTTGCTGACAGTTTTATAATGAAATTTAAATAATGGAAATTTAAATAATGACTGCAACTGCAGCGATAGTCGAACTCATGATCAATGTAAATAAAACGAAAATCTTTTCGTCTTATATACCAGAAACTAATAATATACCTATTTTCATCAATTATTTGGCTGGAGAAGTGCTTTAAATGTCCTTTAAATCTTCCACTCTTGGATCCACTCTGATTCGAAACGGCTAAACGAGAGACATCCCGAAAAATTACATTACGGATAACGGTTACTAGAAATATATTCTTCTGGTTGATGAAATCTTTATGAAGTCGTCGTGAAATCACCATCAAAACGAAAGTCCGAATCTATATAGCCGCGATTCTTATAATCGTGCTATATGATTGTGAAACATGGCCAATGAGAGTGAACGATATTAAGAAGTTGTCTGCCTTTGACCACTCATATCTAAGGTACATTTTACGGGTTTCGCCGAGTGGATAAAATCTCACATCCACCTTTGTTCGAATACTGCTTACATTAACATTACAGAGCGTCGTCACCTTCGCTGGTTTGCCTACTATAGGAGTAGACACATGATAACCCTATGATGGCGTCAAAAGTGATGAAGGCCAATCAACATTGGATTGACACAATCGAGAAAGATTTTGAACGTATTAGTGGACCAGGAATACATGGACATAGACGATAAAAAAGGAATGGTTTCTATTACTATTAGTGATGGCGTCAGATCGAACTTGTCTGTAAAGCCTGGTTTTACCCTTGTAACCAGTGGAGGTAGCCTAACCAGCAACGGTGAGAGCTGATAGAAGAAGAAATTCGTAATGAACATATTTATTGCTTCTCTCAACCATTATCAATAAATAATTACCAAAAAAAGAAATTTTCAAATGTTTTATTTTATATTTTTATAATGTTGTAAATCCCAGCATTATTTTATTGTTATGAGATAGAATGGCTCAGTGGATTGCTGCTCAACTGGGAACGTCGATGCTGGGTTCGATTCCTCGCAGGAGTAAACCTGTACAAAAATCCGGATGATGCTGGCGACTCACCTGTGTTTCTATCGCCAAGGGACTTCCTGGCATATTGCCCAATGCCACAAGCCAGTGGAGCGAGTTTAACCAGTGATGGCGAGGGACTCTTAAAAAAAATTTCATTGTTATAGCCATTTTCATTTATTCGTTTATAAGAAATAAAACGTGCCAAATGTTATTGGTTAAATATATTTTCTCTATTATTCTTTACAATTATTATTGAAAAATCTCAAATGTTTGAAAAAAAGGGAAATTAAATAAATGCAAACGATTACAAATTCATCGAAAAAGTTCCTAAAAATGCATTCCTTTTCCCTTTTAAATTTTTCTTTTTTATATTATTTTTTGAAAAATTTTAATTTAATCAAGCAAAATCAAAAAATTTGTAAATAGCAGTCTTAAAACGATTTTCTGGTAACTATCAATATTTTTGTTTAAAATTTCTTAAAATGCAATTTCCGACGAACCTTAAAATATAAAAATGTGCTGAAGTTGGAAAAGTTCGGCACTTCGTCGTATTTTGGCACTGTTGTCGAAACATTTTTATTTTTCCTTTTTTTATTTTCGTTCATCTAAATGTTTGATTTAACTTATTTAATTTTTATTTAGTATAATTGTTAGAAGTATTTTATACGTTCTTTTACCTTTTTTTCTTAAAACATTCCCTTATCACTTTATCAATTTATCACTTTTTTCTTTGTCCAATTAGCAAATCAAACGGCGAATTTTCAGGAGCACGAAAAAAATCTTCGAGTACTGTAGTGATAGCAATTATTTCTATTAGATATGGCGTCTCCTAAGAAAAGCGTTCTTTTTGTATGTCTTGGCAAGTTTTTTTTTCGATTTATCTTCTTTTCATAAGAAGTTTTGAGAAAAACGAGAGAAATTAAATCTCTCAGTGGTTTTCAGAATATTTTTTTGAGTTGTTATGTTTAATCAATTGATTTCATGGAGTTCGAATTGATTTTCGAGTTGATTTTTTATGAAAAAATCTTTTTACATATTATTAATTTTTCTTGATTAAACCCTATTTGCGACCCTATTTTTCATGCAGTTTAGAAAAAATAACTGAAAATATGGACGATTTTATTAAAAAATTTGTTATAATACTGAAGAATTAACCATTAATTTTCCGATGATTTAATTTGTTGAATATTTTTGGAATTGAAAAAAAGTAAAAATTGCGAAAATTGTTAAAATGGACTTTGAATTCAGTAGAAATATGGACGATTTTTAGGTAATATTTGCCGTTCACCAATGGCTGAAGCTGTATTTCTTCAATTATTAAAGGAGAAAAATATTCGAAATCAGTGGAAAGTAGATAGTGCTGGTGTTATTGATTATCATAGTGGAAAAGCACCTGACAAGCGGACAATGGAAGTATTAATTAAGCATGGTATCAAGGATTATGAACACAGGGCACGACGTGTTAATTTTTCATTTATTCATTAATTTTGATAGCTAACTGGTGTTTGAAATGTTAATTATCAATTTAAAAAATTTATCTATAATATGATAAACTAGAATTGATGAGTAATGTTGTGAGTATAATAACAGCTGCAAAAATATGATATTTGAGAAGACAAATCCAAGGGTCCCATACCACAACGATATTTTTATTTGTCATCCGGGTAACTGGTCGTAATCCGATTAATTTTTTCATGTTTTATAATTTATTATTTAAAAAATGTTTAGTAAGAAATTTTAATTAAGAAATTTTTCTTGGTTTGTCAGGCTATTCTTAAATTGTTTGCAACAAGTTTCTGTGGACATAACAATTTCAGCAAATCTCATTTAATAGTTCTTTTTCTTCTAAACGACTATAGGAAACCGATTTTATTTCAGGTGACTGTCGACGATTTTAATAATTTTGATTATATTTTTGGAATGGATAAAGATAATGTTAAGTAAGGAGTTTCTAATTCTGCATGAATAAATAAATGAATAAATTTTTTCGCTGTTTAATAAAATATTATTATTATTAGTCGCATCCTTAATTTTATTTTTAATTTTTTAATTAATAAAATAAAAATGAAATTGTTTCAGTGATTTAAAAAAATGTCGGCCAAAGCATGGCCATAGCAAGGCTAAAATCCTTTTATTAGGCAGTTATGATCCTAAAGGTCAAGAAATCGTCGAAGATCCTTATTACGAGTCTGGATTGAATGCTTTTGAAAGAGTTTGATTTGTTATTTTGTGAAAAAGGCTTTTAAAATATTTTTTTCAAATTTGGTGGTTCATGAGGTTTCTTTTCTTGCGGAACCATGTAATTAAATTGTATCTATCTTGAAAATATTACACATTGTTCCTAAAGTATGGCGAGGGCTCTTCGCCAGTAATTACGTAGGGAATATAGGTGCATTTGTGCTCCCAATTCATGTTTCATTTTAACTGCTTTGCTCTAAAATAAAAAATTGTTCGTCCTTAGATGAAACAACTCGTCCACACGTAATTAGATTACCACTTATACTATTTATAATACTATTATATTATAGTATTATAATACTATTATATCATTATAATACTATTGTAGTAATATTTATAATTATTTCCTTTTTTTTAGACTTACGAACACTGTTTGCGGTCCTGTCAAAAATTTTTAGAAGTATCTACCGAACCAGTTGACTAACTTCAGAAATCGAAATATAATTTGCCCAGATTTCGAGGAAAATATCCAATAGTTTGCAAAATTACAAAGTAAAATAACGTCTTTGCATTTTTGATTCTTATTTCACTCATTTATCGAAATCTTGTAAAAATTTTTTTTAGAACTAATAACTGCGTTTTTAATTGGTCTTTCTTTTATTGTATAAATTTAATTAAAATGTTATTATATTCTTCCATTTCTTTTCTCGAATTAAAAAATTTTTTCAAATTTTATTGATATTTAATAATATTTTTATTCGATAATTTTTAAATTTTGTGGTTTTTCACAATCATATTTGAAAAATAATTTCAATTCTTCGAATACTTCAAATCGGTTTTTGGGGCTTTTTTTCGAGGCCAAATATTTCCTTAAATCATCAAAGAACGGTTTTGAGGATTACTTGTTCGATTTTGAAATATTTTAAGATTCTTATACGAAACTCTCTGGTAATTAAATTTGAAATGTCTGGTATTTGATTATAATTTTATTTCTGTTTTCTGCTTTATTTTTTGCCACATTTAGCTTCCAGATTTTACATATATTTCTGAATAATGGCCAAAACTCTTCGTGTAATGTATTTATTATTGCGGACAGACTTAGCGACAGAATTAGAATGGCCTACAGGTGCGTTAGTTGCTCAAGGTGCACATGCTGCAACGGCCTGTATTTGGAAGTTTAAAGACGATCCGGAAGTGATCGAATATATGAACAATATCGATAGCTTGGCAAAAGTTGTCTTGCAGGTTTTAGGAATTCTAATAATTTTTCTAAAATTTTAGATTTTTGCAGCTGTTTTACAGCTGTTGTAATATAAATATATCAAGCTTTTTGGCTGCAAATCTTGCATATTTTTTCTCTTTAATGATTGAAATTAATGATTGAAATTTCTGGTATTGAATAATTTTCAGAAATTACCTCTACAATTTAGATTTTTTATTTTATTTTTTGTTATTTTTTTCAGAATGAAATGTTTCTTTGTTAAACAGGTTTCAAACGAAGCTGAAATAAAAGAATTGTCGAAAATATTCCATAATGAAAATATCGATCATTATGTTTGGATCGAAGATGGAATGTCTGTTTGTTTAGCAACAAAGCCTTTAGTGAAGAAAAAAATTCATTCGTACGTAAAGCATTTGCAGTTATATAAAATTCCATAAAAGTTGAATTCGCATAATTTGTAGGGTTGGGTTAAATTTAATTTATATTAAAGTATTAAAGTTTCAAATTAAAATTTTGATTTGCATTTGAAGGCGATTTTGTGTTAACGGAAAAATTTCGCTTGAAAACTGATATTGTATTTTGTTTGTAATATTGTATCAGTAGTAATTTCACAGATAGTTCAAATTCGTCGAATAAAACATGCATATTAGTGGAGAATTCATGTAAAAATAAGTTGGCAACCAGAATTGCACGATTATCATCAGCATTAGCAGTTAACAGTTCCAAATACCAACGTGGAATCCACTTTAACTAGGTCTAGGATTTGTGATTTAAGAGTGGACTTAAATTTCTGTTGTATGTCCACTAGTAAGACCTGGTCATTTTCAAATGCGAGGATGCGTTTATAAAGTTGCATGTGAATGTAGGAGAATATATGTAGAAACTAGTACATCCCTAGTTTTGGAAATTCGCTTATACTTATACTCCATTCAGTTCATCATGGGAAAATATGCCTTTGGAAACACCGAACTCATAACACACTTTTCTGGAAAATGCCAACATTGTCCTTTCAAGTGCTTGGAAAGGAACTACACTGGAAAATTCTAGAATTGTATAAAACTCTCAAGTGTGGAATGAATGAAAAGCAGGACGCTTTATCACTAATTGGCATAACAAGCATGAATTTACTTCTTAAGTTTCAATAAATCACAATAAATTTATTGATATAGCACCTTCTTTCCGAATTTTAGATTAAATTTTGGAAAGTTTGGCAATTTAGCCAGTTTCAATATATTTCAAAATTTTTTATTAAATGTATTATGCAATAAATTTTTTATTTAATAATATTTTATGTTTACTTCAGTAAAGTAAGTTAATTTCCCTAATATGAATGCTAAGTTAATTTTGATTATACGCTCTTGGTAAAGACCGAAACGTGGAAACATTGATTGTTATCAAGTTTTTCGTTTTGCGTTATACCAGTACCTTTACTAGTCAATAAATATTCATTTGAAACCGTATTGATGTGTCAGTCCATTGCGACTGAAATGGGAGTTGGTGGAACTCAGACTCAGAAGGAACATAGGCTAACCTTGCGAGTACCACGTTTGAGGAATTCACACAATATTTCTTAGATTATTTTAATTTCTTCCTCTTCTTTATTGTGAGAATCGCAAAAAATAATGAAAATAGTGATAAAGTGAGTAATATTCGGTCTGTTCTATATAGGGTGATTCGCGAAATCCATGAAGGATTTGGGTTGAAAATTTGGCGTAATGAAAGCGAATATGCAGAAGTAGGCAAATAGGTGGAATGGTGTGATAAAACTTATTGTGAACGTAAACTATATGCATTAAAGATAAAGCATTAGAGATCAGTTTGGTGAGTGCATTTCTCAATATTTTAATATATTGTTAAAATCTTCTATATATGTTGCGATTTATGGCTGTTGAAACATTTAATTTTCAAATAGGTAGGTTAATTTTTTTATTGTGGTTTACTAAAAAATTATTGCCAACATTCACTGGTTCCTGTTTTATTGTCTAAGTCATCTTCTAAAATACAAATCTTCTTAAGAACCGCACGCACGTCGTCATCGGTTTTAATTCCAGTTCTTGTCCAAACGGTCACTCTGCGTTCTTCTGGAATAGTTAATTGTCCCTTTTTGAAACCAGTGTAAAGGACGACGAACTTGTCGTTGAGGAACGCTATCGATCCATTCATTCCAACCTGAAGTTGATTTTGCAAGACCGTAAAAAGATTTTTTATGCTTCCAGAATTGGATGCTTTTTTTAATTCTTATTTTTTTCCTCAGAATTAAATTCCTTAGAATATTTTTATTTTCCAGAAGTAGGTTTGTTTGGTTGATTTGGAAAGCTTCATTATCTTTTCATAGGCTTTAGGCTATCGTCAATGGCAGATGTGGTACCACCTAGTTCTTCATAGCCAGGAATAAAGGAATAAATTCCATCTTCCTTTAGTAACAATCAGTCGTATCGTTTGATGATCGTTTTTTTTAAATTAAGGCCACTCATTTCTTTTATTTTTTGGTTGAACTAATACTTTGAACCACAGGCTCCAAAAAAAATATTTAATACAATGTAATATAATATAAGAGTTTGTTTGAAATGGGATTTAATCATTGCTATCGCTAGTCAAACGGGAATGAGTTTGCTACTGGCAACAATTTATAGAGCTACGATAACACCCTTTCGTAAATATAGAAAAGGGAAGAAGTGTTTTGCAGTGGAGAGAGGAACGGATGGAGAGTTGCTCACGAATTAATTACTTCTCCGTTATGATAGCTGAGTTCTTCATCGCCAGGAATAAGGGAATAAACTCCATCTTCCTTTAGTAATAATTCAATCGTATCGTTTCGCATACATTCGCCTTCAATGCTATAAATCTTATTTTTATCAATCATACTAAAACGGTTGAAAGTGAATTTTACATATTTTATACATATTTTATAAATTGGTACATTGATTGACACTTGCCTTTCACTGCTGCAGATAAGTTTTTTCCTAAATTTTTCTTCTGTACTGATCACCATGCATTTTAAATTTGCAACAGTTCTGTGGATCGCTGCGTGAAGCACCCAAACTCCATCCAACTAGCAAAATTTCATCTTTTGAATTTGAATTTGAACAAATTTCTCAATTTTTTAAAATATTAGTTTATATTATTATATTTGTTTTGTTTATCAATGAAATTTTCGATACTTTCCGCGGTTCAAGCACAATTTTGTCTGGTTCGCAATTCTGGATTTGCAGCAACTTGCATTCTGACTTTTGCTGTTCATAATTTATTGGGTTGAGGCATGGGTATTCGCCCGAATATTGCGCAGTTTGAATAATTAGCGGGCTTGCTAGACCGAAAGGTGATAGCAGAACAAGCTCACTGCCATTGACGATCACCAGCATTTCAGTATCAACTGATAGTTTTATAGCGACGTCGCTTTCGGTACATTTGCCAAATCTAGATAATTTATCAGAATGAATGGCTTTACTTTGTCGCTTAAATCGGTGATTGAAGTCCAGCGACATGGATTCGGCCCTTTAACGGGCATAAACTTGCCATTAAAAGGGGAACCCAGGATGGTTCAATATTCACTTATAATTCCAACTCTGCCATCTATGGAGTCCTGTATGAACAGATATCGCTGGTATTGTTCTTTGAATCTGTTGTAGCCACTTTTCCAGTTTGGAAGTCCCTAATGCTGCTTCAAACACTAGGATCACTTTGGCTTTTCCACGTCTCTAGTTCCACTTTCAGTCTCTACCATTTCTTTAGCTTCTTATTTTCAATCTTCTTGGTTCCTGTCATTTGTTATCTATCCGGTGCTGATATACTACGATATCTGATCAATACTTGCTTGTGTGTCTGGATGAGGAAGTCCCACAGGATCCTGGTCTTATTCACGATTTTCTGGTCTCTCATCTGAGAGAATTTAAACTATTTATATATATATTCCTGAGCAAATGTTCCTATAGATAATAAGCTACTTGGTTGTGCTACCTTTCATGTATATATAATTATTTATAAACTTAATGATAAATAATAATATAGTCCTTTAATTACCTTTCATAAATCTTTTTCACCTTTCCTTCATTGAATTGCAGTAAAAACTTGGATTGATTTGGAATCGACGATGCAATAGCGAAAAATGTGTTATTTTTGAAACGTTCTTTGATTTTGTATTCCGATCCTTGTATTAATGGAACGACTAGGTTCGTTATACTTGAGCATATCAATGTACCAAGTTTTATATTGTAATTATCGTAGATACATCTATCTGATAATTTTTAAGATCGAATGGTTAATTTTTAAAATTTCATAAAGAAAAGTTCATTATTGGCTATTTATTTTGAATTTACCATGGACTGATACGTGAGTGAGATGCTCAACAGGTAAGCATACACTATTTGCGATCCTCTCGAGCACCATAAGCTCAGTATGGTCTATTGAATCGTGGCGAGATAACACGTAAAGAAAGCGTTTTATGCATTCGCCCGTCTTGTTATAAGCCATACAAGCGTGAACAACTCCAACATGTCGATTCAGAAAGAGAAATCGTAATATCACTGAAATAAAAATAGAAAAATGGCTGAGCTATGTTTCTAGCCATTATTAATTAAATTTCTGAATTTAATATAAACTAAAGTAATCCTTAAAAAATTTTTATTTTAGCTTGCAGTTTATTTACATAAAAAACAAACTGTAAGATTTTGGTCCAAGTAAGGAATTGAAATATAGATGATAAGTAAAATCATCACCATCTTCTTCTTCAAAAAGGACAAACATTCGTCGAAAGCACTCTTTTGCCAAACCAGGTCGTGCACTAAACATTTTTTCAGATTCATTGGGAATATTAACTAATTTAAATAAAAACTAATTTAATTATTTAACTAATTTAAATAATTTACATTAAATTTTGTGGAGTTTTTCGAAGGTGCATAATCTTCATACGCATTTTTTGATCAATTAATTTGATGGACTTATAGGAGCTATAAAGTTATGCGACGTCAGATTTATGAAATCTTAATCACAGGCAAAATTTCGAAAAGATCAATTCTAACGCTGATTGATAGACTTTGATAATCGCCTTTCCACGCTCCACGACTGTTAATCTTCCTATTAAAGCGTAAGTTATATATTGAAATCGATCGTAATGTGACATAAGGAACCATTTTCCAACTTTTTCAATCTATAATTATATTATAGAATTGCAGGAAACATATTCCCTATTCAGGCACACTTTCTAAGCTATAAAGCTTGGTTAATATCGGCTGTGAATAGTATAAGAATGAAAATAGCGGATCTTTTAAATCGGATGAACAGAAACCTTAAGTAAAGGTTTAAATTTTCACACTTTGTTTCACTTAGACTACACTGATTTTTTTTCGAAGAGCATTCACCACTGTTAGCTCACACCGCTGGCTTAGGCGAACTAGGCACTTTCCATGGAGTCATTTAGCGTTAGAATAGATGGACCAGCATCACCTGGATTTTCAGGAAGGCAGATCTATTCTTGCCGAGAATAAAGCTCTGACATCGATGCTCTGAAATGGAGAAAAAAAACCTACCCAACCATTTTGCACCTGATAATTCCAGTAAATATCATATATTTATAGGTTATGAAAAGTTGGTTCAAAAATTTACCGCCAGTAAGTCGACTTTTATTCCTTTTAATTGATTTTTTTTACATCTTGGCTCCTGAACATTGGTTAAAATATCAAGAACTTCTCTATGAGTTAGAGTCATAATCATCCGTCTAAGTCGTGTAGTTTGACTGATATCAACACCACATAGTGCTGTGAATAGTAATAATGATGATGCAAAAAATTTCAGAAGTTAAAAACTTTACTATATCAATCTTACTTTTCTACACTGGCTTTATTTTTCGTTGCCTCAAAGCCATTTGTATTATATTACAAATAGATTGTGAAAAATAGCTCACAATGTAGATCAAACCATCGTAACTGATCTTGATTAACGCAAGCCGCATTTAAATAAGGTTCAAGTAGTGACAAATCGTGATAAGCGAGATGTCTAGACCTAACAAGAATATCCACATCATACTGGAGACATGATCCGTTTTCGTTTCTTTTAAAGCACCAGTAAAGTAGCATTCGTTGATTATCCAAATAAAGTACTTGGTTCTGCCCTGAAATAGATTTAAAGACGACAATTTCAATTCTGATTCTCATTCTGCTAAAAGGTGATTATGGATTATTCGTTAACATATCTTGGCTGACCGTTTACTTTTATTGGGAGATGGAACCATCCTATATCACTGTCATTAATATAAAATTTAATTCACATACATTGTATAATACTATTAGGGAATTCTTGTAACGATCCATATTGGTATTCCACTTGCACGTTTATTGTGGAATTTGATTCAATGAGCTGAACTTTGCCGCTTCCTGGTCCAATACATATCAAATCCGATTCACGCTGTGCAAAAAATTTGATGGTTAAGGTTTCATTACTGGAAAACAATATGTAATGCAATTAAGCATACTATTTAATCGAAAGGACGACAGAAAAATGGTTATCTGATTCGGTACCTATGGTTTGTTTCGTCAGCTTTTAATTCAACAACCGCTGACTGCATATAAATTTTTGGATCTGCATTGATATCCGCCGCAAAAAACCAAACTCCTTGAAGAAGTTGTACATTAATTGGACTCCATGGTGCCATCTTACCACATTTTATCGACGGTTCTTTGATAAATGTGTTTTCATCGCATTCATCTATTGCTAATATTATTAGGACAATAAAATTGATTATAATAAGGTTAGAGGCAAATGTGAATATAAATTTAAAATATGAAATCTTGAGTAAAGTTTTTTCAGTATCTCAGCAACCTTGTTAATTTTTCTATTAAAAATTGCCCCAATTTTATGGCAAACTTTGTATAATATTGGATAATTTTAGCTTTTTACGAGAAAAAGACGTACAAAATTTGAGAAATAAGGTATAAGGCTCAATGAATAAAGCATAAAAGCATACGAAATGTGTTGAGAAAAATTAAGTCAGTTGGATCAACGCAAATAGTGTCCAGTTCCTCGTAAATGGTGTGAATGGTTGGTTGGTCCATAAGGTCTTCGTCACTCCACACGTATATTCGATACTAAAACTACTATGTTGAACATTTTTCTCACAAAAAAAATAATCGCTTTGTGTTTGCTTTCTGTTTTGTTTATGAATTATTAATTTATATTTCAATATTTCCTTGCTAAAAATTAACGCTTCATAATAAAATACTTGGTCGCATGTGCCATCCTCATTAACATCAATGCATTTGTAAGTAATATATTCATCTCCATTCTGCCAGAGTAGAGTACCGGACCCTACAGTACAAAAGACATGACATATTTATGGTGAATAATAATTAATATCCCATTCTCATTCTTAACTTATGAAAATTGTAATAACAAATGACAAATGAACACTGTGCAGTGCACCTCCAGAACTTACAGTCTATCCTAATTATTGAATCATTGTTGAGTTGTAATTCAATGCTGGATTCAATTGAAAATTCATCGGGGAAAACTTGCTTCAAAGTACTTTTGTAACAAGTTTTATGTCTATAAAAAGTCCTACTTCAGAAAATTTTCTAGGATTAATATCTATAGTGTTTCTGTTCCAAAAGATTCAACAAATAAGCGATATTCTGGCAAGTGGTATGGTGATATGTTCCGCAGACCAGTATGAGCTCGATTTTTGTTTTCGTACTAAAAACCTTCGACTTCCAAATGAATTTCTAAAGAAATGATATCGTATTTAGTGGGACCAAACTGCTATCAATGCGATAAAAGATATTGTTTCTAATTATGCAATAAGCTGGCAACTGATAAAAATTTCGCTATCAAACCTTATATATTCGCAAATAGCATCATTTTTTGTTGAAAACAAACAGCTAATATGAGATAAATCTTCGTTCGCCAGTATGGGGTCCATAAAAGCGATTACAGTCAGCATTCGTGGTTCATGCTAAAAAACATTATGGCCTTGCCAATGCATACTCAACAAAACAAATGAATTAAATATCTATTTAAATAATAAATAATGAAAAATAATTTAAGCAAGAAACAAAATTATTCCAAATTTATGCTTATATTTTTTATTTACATTTATATTTAAATCAATTTTATTTTATTTTTCTTGTAATTTCGGCTGAAACAGCAAATGCCCAAGTGCTTCGTGGACTTCCACTCTGCACCTTGATAAATACCATGTGATGTCATCCCCCAAAATATAAGTGAAACGCTCTTCAAGCCGCATGAGAGCGGCCAACTAAGCAAAAATAAATTCCCTTATCAAGAAAGTTGAGTATGCATCGGCAAGACCGATGAAAAGAGATATGAGAAGAGACGAGCACTTTTCGAATGCTATTCAGCGTTCTTCGAAACTCACCTTCAAGTGATATGGAAAAAAGCTAATGCCATACGACTGCAATTGTCATACTTTAAATTCTAAAGAAGAGTGGTAGAATGCAATGCACTCTGGCAATCCAGAAATCAGTCTTTTAAGTTTTCGTTGAAGAAATTTCGCCTCACCTCTGTTGAATAGAATTACGACAGCATAATACCAAAAATTTGTGTTTGTGTTAGACCAGAACAAGAGTATGCTGGCCAAATATTCACACTGAAAAGGGGATTGTTAAAACATCCCCTCTAAAGGTCAGTGTTTCAATTGCTTTACTGATTTTGCAGCTGCTGCCGATTCAGTAGATTGAGTAGCGTTATGCAAGACAATTTTATGGCGCTTGAAACAAGATTATCGTACTTAAGGCATTTTACCAGCCTTATGGTAATTCTGCATGTGCTAGCAAAGGTTGAATAGCAATCCTTTTGAAAAACTGGCATTAGGGCTGTGTTTCCTCTATAATATCCGGCTTTGCGGCTAGCATAGCCACCACTCAAAAAAAGAAAAGTTAGTGCATATTATCACCAATCTTAAACACATTCAGAGTTAACTTGACCATCTATCGGTAATTCCAGCTAGTCAGGCTGAGGATCTATATGAGGATATATAAATAAGACGTATAAATAAGAATATAAGTATAACGTATAAGTATTTCTTCTCACAAACCACAACACCCGTTACATCGAACTAATAGAAATATTAAAAGAAAAAAAGGGGCAAAGAATAAAAACACCACAGACAAAGCGATTCTAATTGTGCCATTTATTCGTAAAATGTTAGAATAAAAAAACAATTACGAACGAAAAAATTGCCGATTTTTCTTCTTGGAAAATTTCTGGCCTTGCATTCGTTCTCAATAAGTTCACCCTCTGTATCGATAGCTGCATTTTCTAGTTTTTGATCAATGTCGACAATATCGTCTCCGCATGGTCCTATAAAATAATTACCTACAATCCATTTCTATTTATCTTATTTATATCTTCAAATAATAATTTTTCTGAGACTATATAACTATTTAAATTTAACAATTTACCATAAGTATTAAGTGTTCTCAGGCGTAAAATATCTATACAAGCGTTATCCTCCAAGTGTTTAGCTGATTTGAACAACTGAAATGATGAAATGCCACATTTTTTCATTTAGATTTTAAATGTTTAGCCATACGGAGGAGAATTTCTCTACCTGAATTTATTATTTATATGGCAAACGGCTTTCGTTCCTGTTTTTTGTTTATTACCATTTCATTTCATATACATAATTTCTTCCGTTATCTGCTTTTAATCTATCTTATCATGCGCAAAACGACTAAAGAACTATGTTATGAAGTACCATTACCCAGTAATTGGAGTGAGCTTAATTGATTTTAATCAAAAAAAGGATCGTGAATCTTGGTTAAAATATTAAGTATAGTATTTGTACAATGCAGTATTATAATTTATTTCAATATAAGAACAAATAATGTAGAATGAACGATTTCATTATTGTTAAATGTTATATGAGAAAATTTCGCTATAGTACTATCAACTGAAATGAGTCAGTAAATAAAAATATTATAAATAAATATTCTTGTCAGTGAGTCAGTACTTACCGCTAACGTTTGTGGATGACGAGAATTGCTTAAAATTGATGCTGTTTCTTCACCTTGCAAACATTCACCATTTGGCTTAAAAGTTCGACAACCATACAAAACAATATTCATTTCTTCATTATCATCTCCAGAATATTCATGGAAAATCACTCTAATGGCCACTGATATTTATTAAGTTAAATTGACGCTATTAATTACAGGTGATAAGCAAAAAAATTTTATTTCGATTCTGTTAAAATGAATAGAAATACCTGAATTAAAGAAATTTAAAAAAAGAATTTTTCAGTGGTTTCAATTCCGCTATATTTTCCAAAAGTGAGCCAATGAGCGTGGAAGATGTCAGAAGACCATCTTTTTTAGCCAGTATTGCCTAAGATACTTACAACACACTCGCCAAATAGGCAAAGTCTCACATAATTGCATCCACCTTCTCACCAGTACCATCTGCATTAAGAATATCGTAATAAAGCATCCTCTGCTCTGATTTGGTTCTCGTTGCCACAGAAATTTACGCCCACCTCGCTATTTGGAAAATTCTGCGATGGATGACGTTAAAAACATGGAGGTTCAGTTAAGATCTGGAGCGATACGATCACAGGGGATTTTAAACATCTAAGTGGCGCAGCGATATATGAACTTAGAGGATAGAAAAACGAGTGGTTTACTTCAAGATTGGCATTAATTCGGGATGCTTGGAGATGTCTTACCCTCATCGGTGGAGCGAGCCACACCATTAATGGTGCAGCCTGCTAGAAGGAGTGAATTTAGTATTGGCCTTAGCACTTAGGAAAAAAAACTGGGAAATTAAAATCAATGATTCGATTAACTTACTTTCAAATAAAGTTCCATCATTAGCCTTAATCTGCATAATGTATCCAGTAACTTGCTTTATCCACAAGCCGTATAAAGGGCCATAGCATATTCCATTGCTGAATTTTATGATTTTGCATTTTTTTTGAACCTTTTTTAAACATGTACCGTCAATTTCATCGAATTTCGAATCTTCTACTCACATGCAAGCCGATAAATTTTTTTTTGCTTTTTGTATTATAAGTTCTATATTAAATAGATACCTCTCATAAAATTCAATCATTTTTATGTGATCATCCTCAGGAATGAGTTTGATAAGACTCGTATTCAGATTTTGTGGCAAATAATCGATTGCGGGACCCATATGGGCAATACGAAACCAAGATCCATTGTACTAAATAATGAAAAAAAAATGGAAGTATGAAAAACATATTTGTCAATTTTGATCAAAATTGTCAACTTAACATACTGAAAAGTAAAAGGCTATTTAATTTTCATCAACTTTAATTTAAATCAACAGTCATCGTTATTTCTCAGGATGAAGAGTTTTTTTTTTATCTCGAATTTTCTTGTCATAAAACCAATGGTATATCAAATAGCTTCAAAAAGACAAATCGATCTTTAATGAAGAAAGAATTTTTTTTTATAGTCTGAGTTGATCTAAATAAGATCTGTTGGCTGTAGTCATTGCTCGAATAACTTACTTGCTCTTGCGCCAGATCCAGTTGATCCAGTTTAGTGAGGCACTGTGAATTGGTGAAAACAAAATTTGAAGAGAAAACATGAAAAAGTAAAATTAGGTATTTCATTTAGCGATGCTAATTGTTAGCCAGAACAACTGTTATCATTATCTCTCAATATTATCTCTTCAATTGAATTGATCTCTGTGCCGATTGATTTCATCAATTTTTATGTAGCATTGGTCTAGAGGTTTTCTTAAGAAATTTTATACATCAATAATTATGAACTATGTACATAAAATACTGGAAAAGAGTTCAATCTCCTCATTCAATGATTATTTTGATATGAAAACGAGTTGAAGATTTTAGCAAATATAGTTCAAGCATAATTATTATTTTAAATTATTCAAAGCCAGCATTAGATGCAAAGCAATTGCTAATTTGCTAAAAATTTGAATTGCGAAGTACATTATCAATATATCACTGTAACTATAAAAATAAAATTCTTATGATAAGTTAAGGAAATAAAAATCTTAGTATTATAAAAGTTAAATTTAAAAAATTAAACTAAATACAAAATTAAAATTTAAATGTGCAGAAAATATGAATATTTAAACAGAAACAGAATTTAAACAGAAAAATTAATGTTCTATGGAAGATATTTGCTATTTTTTTTCAAACCAGAAATCGAAAAACAGTTGCATTTCATAAAATAATGGAATCAATAGAATTTTTGAACATTTTTACAAAACAATTTCTATTATCAATATTGTTTATTTACATTTTTATCATATCTATTTTGGTGGAATTTGTGATTAAAAATTATTTTAATTAATTGTTTAATTATAAATTACTTTTTATTTTTTATTCAAATATTAATAAAAATACTCGGAAAGTATAAATATGGAATTCATGAAATTGATTTCATGCCAAGATGCTAAATCACAATACATGATAATTTTTCGGTATGATTTTTGTATCTTTGCTTTAATCCATTTACCATAAATTCTTTAAAATAATCATTTTTCATAAAATTGTCCTTTTCCACTGCTTATGATTATTTATTTATTTCTTCCATTATTCACGATCGCTAACATAAGAAATCAAAGTAAAATAGACTGATTTTTAGCATCGTTTCGATTGAAGTAGGGCATATTTAATTTATTTAAACATCGATATATTAAAAACAAATGGAATTTTTTCAATTATTTTGACCATTATTTTATCATTTTTAATTCTCTAAAAATGCGAATATTTTATAAAATATAATTGTTTTCTGTGTATTTTTCTTTAAAAATACCTCGATGGTTAATACTTCGATCGCCCTTATTTTAATTTTTTAATTTAATTTGAGAAAAAATTGCTGTTTTAATTTTTTTCTTCTAAAGATTTATAGTCGTTAAGAAAGAAAAACGGAAATTCTATAGGGCATTTCAATTATTACGCCTATGAAACTGAAACTATCTACGAAACTATTTATTCTCTTAGATAGCACAATTCAGCGCAAAAGCAAAAACCATCCACAGTAATCCTATTAAATCTGAAACGTCTTTAAGCCACTTTTATTTCTTCTGTTGAGCACTTGTGAATACAACTTTACAACCTTTTTCATCGTATATCCGTGAAACAGTAGATCGAATTATTTCTTTTCATAAAATTCTTCATATTTTTGTTTATTTTCCTCGCCTTATAAATTTTTCATCATTTAAGTTTGGATTAACACTAAGCTGAATAAGAGGAAATGGTCGAAACATGTGGAAAATGCACAATTCTACATGCTAACAGTAAGACACATCGGATAAATATCGCATTCATAGTATTAAATCTCGATTACGCTTTCTGAACGTTTAAATCTTCATTACTTGTTTCAATTTTAATTTTACTAGAAATTTCTAAGAGCGCAAATTCCACACATACTTTCTTTCCTTAATCCATAATAAAATGCAGCGAAAAATAAAAACGACCAAGGGGACATATTTTTTAACTGTCAATATTTTATTTTAGATTAATTCCTAGCAATTGAAATAAATAAGGAAAAAAATAAGGAAATTGCAGAATGCGATTGTGAAAAAAGCGAATTATTTTATGAGAAAACATTAGAATTTTTCTTCTTTTATCGGTTAGTGAACTAATATTTCCAAGCAAAATTAGAGGTTTTGTAGGTTGATTCAGCATTGATTCATATTTTTATTTCAGTATAATGATATTCAGTGATATTGCCGATAATTTCGAATTATATTTTATAATTTTTCTTTCTAATGACGAAAATAAATTTTTTCTCAAAACTCAAATCAAATGCAACTCAAATGATTCTGTGGTGAGGGATCGTATGTGAATCAAATCGTTCACACGTATTTCGAAACGCATTACCTTCCTAAGCTGGTGGTGTAGCCGAAGCCGAAATTATTGTGAGGATTAATACGAAAAATAACAAATGTAAAATTTAATAAAATTCATTTATGCCGTGAAAAATCCACAGAACTACTTAAATTATTTATACCATTATTTATACTTTATACTTAACCTCGTACATCATTTAGCTTCTGTACAAAAAATGCGATTGCACACCTTAAATGCATAGTAAATAAAATAGACCTTCAAATTATGTAGATTATGTAGAAATTAAGAGCCAGAGCCAGTGGGTAGTAGTGGTTCAAATTAACGAGGTTAGAGGGGCTCAGAGGGACTGGGAGAGAATAGACTTGCCTTTGAGAAATTACAGTGGTGCTGCTGATTCACCTATACTTCTATCTCCAAGTGATTCCTTGATAAAAATTTATGACAGTGAAACTAGAAATAATTAGTGCTAACCACTTTGCTTCCAGCGAAATCGTTATTAATCGGGTAATAAAATAAATTTATATAGGTTTGGATTTTCCTATGATGCACTTTGGCTCTTCGTCAAGAGATTGCTTGCTTAAGATTTAAGCTTAAGGTATAAGCTAAATTTTCCATAAAATTTTGCCTAAATTAATTAGCCTATGGAATTTTCTTTATTCTTTTTCGATTTTTTTCTGTCGATCGTTAAGATGATTTTTTACCACTAGATATTATGTTAATTTGTCACCTTACTATGATTTTGAAGGACTGATTTTTATTACTGACTTCTTGCTGAAAGTCGGATTTAAATTAGTGATTTCTTTCCAGCATGCTTCAGCCATTGGACCAACTCCCTTAAACTGCTTTTTTATGATTCTGTTGAAAATTTTGTCCATTTGTGTTCTTTTAATGAAATATTCTTTCAATTTATTTTGTTCAAATTTATAGCATATTACAAATATAAATATAAAATATAAAGGCTGATCGTGATTATTTAAATCAGAATCTCGTGAACTTTTTTATTCTGAGAAAGTCGGTGCATCTTTCCTTGATATCTTGGAGACCGCTAAAGTGTTTAAATGAATAGAGCATGATTGCAACAAAAAATTAATTTGATATGAAAATATCTTTTTTTATTGGTGAGGATTACTTTAATCCATAACTAAAGGAAATGCTAAATTTTCGTTGAGTTAATTTCCTACCCAAATAATTTAGAAATGAAAGAGTACATAATAAGAAAGAGACAGTTTAATGTCTTCCACCCCGCCAACAATAAATTTCCATAATTTTTTAGCTGAATAATCCTGTTTATAATCCTCCCATCTGTTTTTGCTCTTAACGCAACAGAATTATCTGATTTGCAATAATCTTTTCTTTAACTTTTCTTTTTCGCTGTCCTCTAAATATTTCCTCTATATCGCTGTCTATTTACCTTTATAGCGGACCACCCGTACTTTTTTCCTATCGGAGTACCAGCTCTTCCTCACAGCTAATTTGCTACATTTTTCTCACCATTACACAGCTCATACCATAACATAATAATTCTCCTTTACCTGAATTCATTCGTTATTTTATTATCCAAAAGTATCAGTGTGGACCGAATTTATAAATAGTATTTCTTTGTCCAAAAAGGTGAGATGAATAAGAAATTCGTCCCGAACTTTTTCTTTTTTTCGAATTTCCTATCACTCCAAACTAAAACTAATACCGTTGTAAATCTATGATCAAAGGGGTTCATTGTAAAAATAATTGCTTTATATCACAATTTAATATTCAAGGTCAGTAGTGCTGGCGACCCATCTGTATTTCTATCTTCAAGCGATTCTCTGTGGAGTTGCCTTATTGTAACAGCCAATGCAATTAGCCAAATCAGGCTGATGATTGTTGTTAGAAGAAGAATATCTTAGTCTAACAAGGTCTTATGAAAAATATGATTCGATTCAAATTTATTTTCAATGCAAATAACTTTTTTGTAAGAAACTGGCCTTTTGGTTTTTCATATATATTTGGTTTTTCTTTTTCAACGGAAAAGCCATCGTCGGTCAAATAATATTCATCTGTTCGACATCCTCATAAATTTTCTTTTTGAGATTGCTGTAAGGTGTTCAATCAACCGGTCAAGTAGTAAAATTGCTTTCCCTTCGTCCTTCCACTTTTCGATAATAATCTCATATTGACTCAAGATTATATCAATAATCAATATTATCATGGCGCCCTCTGTTTTATTTCAATGAACATTAATTTTCATATCTTGTATATTCTTTTTTTTCCACTTTTCAATAATAAATTTCATGACAAAAATCCTTGGCAAAAGTTTCTAATCAAAGGTGTTAGTCTATCCAGAAATGGCGGGCGCAAGCCATTTATTTTTGTTATCAATTTTCCTATTTTAGGTTTTCACAAATTGCAATATAAAAAATGAAGGTTTTTGAGATGTCGGTTGTCAGCATAAAATTTCACATGAATTAACTGTAAATGACTAATGGTGGTTGATATATTTAGATATATATATAAATTTTTTTCTCGCTGACATATGGGTGATATGGGTCATCCCCATCCTTAGATCCTCTGCTGGAGACTAAGGAATTTCAATCGCTCCTAGTAGTGCGCTGAGATCTCTGATGTTTCCTAGAATCTGTTGGAACCTTTTAGGAGTCAAAGCCTCTCGTACTCCTGCAACCTCTGGGACTAATTTGGCCTTTACTTTCCACGTCTTCTCTAGTTCTTCTATCATGAGATTTCTCTAGCTTTTCAAATTCTTCCTAATGATCCTATTATTTGGTATTGCTATATCTATCACCCGTGCTAAT